CAGCTACAGACCTTTTTGATACTTGCCCAATCGATGAATCAATCTGGCAAACTTGCAGCGTGTTAAACTCGTTTGTTAATCCACTGATCTACTGCTGGAGACAAAACGAAATGAGGAAGCTCGTATTTAGAATAGTGAAATAGGCCAATATGGCAGAAAAAAAAAACAGAAAAAAAAACTTGTTTATGTAAACGTTTCTGTCGCATTTTAAAATCACTCAATAAACAAACTCCTTAGTTATTGCTCTATATTATAATCGTATTAGTCACTGGTAACACGACACCTCTATAGGCTAAGATGTGATTTTCAAACTCAGTTCTGAAGTCTTAAGTTCAAGTTAGCTTAAAGTTACCAGGGAAGTCATGTAATTTTCTTCGCATTCCTAAGAAGTACTTTTAACCATTGCCTCAATACCGGGGAACCCCCATGTCAGCCGTACTGATTAATATCATGCATTACCGCGAAACCATTGGCAATACATCAGTTAATGCTATTGTTATCAATATTAGGGGAAAGTGATGTCAAGAGACTAGTTCAATTGTTCAAAGATTTAACGATCCTCTTTTCAATTTACTAATTACGCTTTATATGAACCTGATCGCAGCCCTTGTACAAGATAGCAGCCCTTCAAAAAGACATTAAGTTCGCTTCTGAGATCTGTATTCTGATTATTTTTCCAAAAAAAAGCAAATTAGAGATTGAAATGAGAGGAAACATATGTTAAAATGAGTAATTGAGTCTCTGCAGGATATAGACATCTCTCATGCATAGAGAATTGCCAACTTCTGCACACATACAGTGAGGATCAGGCAATCTCCTCAGGCCAGAAAATTCCAATCAATGGTAACTAGTGAATTTTAATATGATTCAAGCAAACGAAACAGCAGAATAAAAAAGGAAAAGTTCTCATGCAGTGCAAACCCAGAACTGCAGAGAGTGAACTAAATAAATTCCACTCCTAGAGTGGATATTAGCTTCTTTTTAAGTATGTTTTAAAAATCGGATTGTATATGCAGTAAATCAAACTTTCCTGAACAAAAGTGCGTTGTCCAAAATATATACAACTGTAGTTAATGAGAAATTTCTTTGACTGAGTGCTGGGACATGCGTCAGCAGAGTGTATGTGAATAATCATCGAGGCTTTCCGTTTCTCCGCCTTCACTAGATGGCTGGATGCACGACCTGGGTTCTTATGCTGAGTATAAGCCTCCTCGTTTCTTTTTGTCTCCATGATTAAATCAGTTGATCAAAAAGCGGTTTAACATCGCAAATGCTTGCGTCAATACTTCGTTGATGGGACAAATATTAGAAAGGCCAGTGATTAAAACGACCAGAAAGAAGCCAAGTGTGAGAAGACAGAAAAAACAAATCCAACTATAAACACAGTTGTCTTAATCGACTTTTCCTCCTTGGTAAATCTTCCCACTTCGTCTTGGGGATTTTGTTGTACTGGTATCTTCCTTTGGTGTCGACGGGTTTCATGATACAAAATGAAGACAAAGAAAACGACACATGAAATAGCGACAAGGTCTGCCATCTAAAGAAGTAGTACTAGATGCACTTTCAACACGCTGTTAACCTCGAACAAGAGTGCAATGATCCAAACTAAAAAAAGTGCTATCTTCATGTTATTGTTAGTTACTCGTTAGAGTGGTGTATCGTACATTTGATCGTTATAAGACTCTCGAAATCAAACGAATATCAAATAAAGGAATGAGGCCATTACCAATACTGCAATAAAAGTACAATGGACATTTTTAACTGTGACACTGCTTCTGAGATCAAATAATTGGAATAGTCTCCACAGTATGTACGATGAGAGGTAACAAGGGGTTGCTGTTGGTTCAGGACCGTGGTCTTCTCTTTACGGCCATTATCATCAGCACGTTGGATTGAACTGTAAAGGGAGAGGTGACAGTGTAGATTATTATGGTACTAATGACATAACTAACTTGAAAAGTTTTCTCTGCTGTGTCGCCTTCTGTACTTGTCATGTTTGAAGCGTTTGTTAAACTCGCTCAATAGAAGTTTGCCGTGTCGAGCTGGAAGCCTAATACAGGTCAATGAGATCTTACTGGTTTTTATCTAATATTTATTACTGATTTTGACTTTGATCAATCGCTAAAAGAAAAGTTCTTATATTCAAAAACGAAGGGAAGAAAAGAAAAAAAAGTGAAATGTTCCAGTGATTACAGAGATGCACAGGCTCTGATTCGCCAGGGGTCGCGTCATATCTCTCTATAATCACCTCGCACAAGGTGATGCTAGTAGGAGGACTAAATTTCATTTCGCCTCAGGCTCAATGAATATTGTCGAATAATCTATAATCCACTTGTTAATCCAATGATCTACTACTGCACACTAAACGAAATGAATTAGTATAAGATGACAGGTCGCACATTCAGCCATCCAGTGATGAAAGACAATATGGCAGAAAGACTAAGAAGTTTGATAACTATTTACGCACACTTTTTTCGCATTATACTATCACCAGATAAACGAAACTCCTTTGCTAGTGATTTATATGACAATTGCATTTTTCACTTAAAGAGTTGATTCGATTACCGCATGCAAAATCTGATTCCCAAAAGTACTACTTAAGGTGATGGAAAAATCTCTACTAGAAATGTTATTCATTTACTAATTAGCCTCATGTTTTTGTTTTTGCTTTTTATTTATTTTTCTGTTTTGCAGAGCTACCTTAAATGTTGCCAGCCCTTTGCACTATTTTAGTTTGCAAAGATTGCAACTGAGTTCTTTTTGTATTAAAACCAATTTTGTGAAGGCTCCTAATGCAATGTGCGTTCATTGACAAAACGAAGGTTATTTAAAGGAGCTTAAGGTTATCAGGGTAAGAGGATTTTTCCAGTGCGCAGACGCGAACATATTCATATTCATATTCAAAAAAAAAAGTATGCTATAACTTTTGGGACGGACAATTTATAGCTTCAGAATGGGAATCTGGGTGGCGAAATCATTGCTTGATGGCAGCGAGTTTTGAATTGAACTTAGTATGGGAAAAATAGAAGATTTGCAAAAGATACCTTATACTCTCGTAAGCTTCCTCTCTGATCGATTGGCCCTTTTTTCAGTGATGATAACGACGAAAAAAACAGTTTTAACAGTTCATCACTGAATGTAGTTTTAAAATAATTTGAATCATAGATTATCGAATTCTTAGCTCAATACCTACTTGGCTAAAACTAGTGTAAGACATTTGAAAGGAATCAGGTGATGGATGAAATTCACAGTTCTGCTTAACGTGCTTAACGAGCTGGTGATAATGGCCGTGTAAACAAGACCTCGACTCCGAACCAACAGCAACATCTTGTTGGCCTGTTTAGGGGTGACTGATGCATTGACTGGTCTTCTTGGCCGACCATCATATATCCTGTGGAGGATATTCCAATTATTAGTTCATAATACCAGTGAAACAGCTGAAAATTTCATTTCAATTTCATATCTCTACTTTGGACAGCTTCATGCTTTCACCTAAAATTGGTTACTTTTGAGAAGTTTATTGCGATCGAATTTGCGTCGCGCTACCTAAACATTGTTACTGATAGGAAAATGACGATAGCATTGATAGAAATTTGGATCATTTCCTCCATATGTAGAATTCTTGAAAGACGTAACTAATATTTTGTTCTATAGCTAGCCTTGTCGCCATTTCGTTTACCGTTTTCGTTGCCTTCGCATATGTGATTTCATATCATGAAGCACGTCGACATCAAAGGAGTATAAAAGCACAACAATTGCCCCCAAGAGAAGATGGAGAGATTTACCAAGAAAACGAGGTGATTAGGACAACTGTGTTTGTAATTGGTGCTATTATTTTCTGCCTTCTTCCAGTTTGCTCGTGTCTCATTATTTTAGCTACAGTTTTTCCTGAAGCTTTAGGCCATGTTATGGTGATACGTGCCAATGATTATGCAAGCGATTACTTCACTTTATCGGCTTTAAACCTTAGAAGCACGTTGCCTGTAAACTCACTCTTTCTTATGTTTCCGTTGAAAGACAAATATTGCAAAATAAAAAATGAGATATTGACAATATTTATTTCTGTCCTCATAGCTGTTAAGACCATTGAAGGGAGATGTCACTTTTAAAGACGAGCCTTTTTTGACCAGCCAATCAGCTTCTACTTATGATGTCAAACCATTAGCCATCAGCTATTGTTTATTGGATGCAGTTTTTTTAATTACAGCCTAGTATGAGAGACCTAATTGAAAAAAAATTAGCAATCGAATTGAATTGAGTCTTCCTAAAGATTTGTGTGAGTTATCATAGTTGCCGATTTTCTCCACACTTTTCCATTCCAAACGCAACCCTTTTCATTTACTTTTCTTATTTAATACATCTTTCTTCTAATCTAACCACACATATATTTAATTGATTTAGGAGTTTCAAGCAATTCTTCTCCATTGTCCCCCACTCCAACTCTTTTTAGTTATTTTGATGAAAATCTACCCAAAGTTATATCTTGTGATTTTCAACCAAATAAACAACTTCATCAATTAAACAATTGATATATCCGCGTGAAAAGTCAAGCGGGAGCACATGAATAAGTATGGAAGTAACGGTCAATAAAATTGAACTGTTTACGCTTCGCCGCCAATATTTCAGATATAAATATATTATTTTCGCCACAGCAATTAAATGTCGCGAGAACAAGAGGCATTCTCCCAATGAAAATATAGTAATATTCAAAGAGTCGCTCCATGAGGTTGACTTGATCCTCATCGGGCTTTGAACTCACCGTGGCAAACAAAATTTCGTAACCTCTTTAACAGTATAATTAGGAATTGCTGTAATTGATATGCGAGAAAAAGACAAGTGGAAACACATGCACACTAGAGTAGAGTGTGTCTATAAAAGCTTCTGAAAAACAGCACAGATCGAACGCATTGATCAGAAAGTTCGTATGGTCTTCATTAGGCAACCAACTCAACCTATATATAGCAGATTTTTTCTGGGCTTAGTTTAAAAACGCTAAAAAGATGACTAGTGCAGCAAGTGTCCCACTAGAGGTTAGTTACATTATCACTATAATCATCAATAGCGTTTCTTGTCCCTTCACAGTTTTGCTGAATGTGCTGATCGTTAAGGCCGTGATGACGAGTCCTCGACTCCGAATCAACTGTAATTTCTTGCTGGCCTGTTTAGCGGTGACTGACGCATTGACCGGTCTCTTTGGCCAACCTTCGTATGTTCTATGGAGGATATTACTTATATTCGGTTTCAGTAGCAGTGAAACAGCTAAACACTTCCATGCTAATGTTATGCATATTTTAGCAACTGCTTCGTGCCTTCATCTGATGTTGATTACTTTCGAGAGGCTCATAGCGATCAAATTTACAATGCAATACTCAAACGTCATGACAAATAACAACCTGAAGATAGCGGTGTCAGCAATCTGGATCTTTGGTTTCATAAATGGTATTTTTACAGCGTTAAAAATAAACCTAGCGCTTTATTATATCGGAAGCCTCATCACAATTTCATGTGTCGTGTTTGTTGCCTTCGCATATGTGATTTTGTATCATGAAACCCGCCGCCATCGAAGGAAGATAAAAACACAGCAACTGCCCCAAGGGGAAGTGGAAAGATCTACCAAAGAGAACAAGGCCCTCAAGACAACAGTGTTTGTAGTTGGTGCTGTTATTGTGAGCCTTCTTCCAGCTGGTTTCTGTTTCATCGGTTTAGCTAAAGATCTTTTTGATACCTGCCCCATCAATGAACCACTCTGGCAAACCTGTGTGATGTTGAACTCACTTGTTAATCCACTGATCTACTGCTTTAGACAAAAAGAAATGAGAAAGGTTGTATTTAGAAAAAGAACACAGGTCATATATCCAGCCATGCAGTGTTCAAGGGTAATGGGTAAAAAGATTTCAGAAAGTGCTAATGATAATAATAACTAGAATTGTTTATGTACACTTTGCTAACCTTTACTTGCATTTTTCATTCACCTATGGACGAAATTCCTTTGTCAGTGCTTTATATGACGATTGCTTTTTTCAACTGGATATCTGAATCGATTATCGCCTGCAAAGGCTGATTCTCAAAGGACTGCTAAATGTTTGTGACCATGGTTTGTGTTTTCTGGTGATGAGATTAAGTTCTTAACCCTTTGGAAAAGTAGCAGATTTGATATCAGAATAAACCCTTTATAGACAAAAATTATCGTTTTCCCGATTGATCGCTCTCCTAACGCTAATCCTTATTCTGTTAAGATGCTGGAATACTCCGTTCAAAGTTCGTTGACTAGTTGTGAAAATGATCGATAATCTAGATGGCTCAAAGGTGGCGATACCTTCACTCAACCGTTGGTTACATGCCATTTCCATGCTAGTGACTGCCAATTAACTTAGTGGATTTATCTTCTGCTACAAAACTTTATAAATTTAACAAAAAAATCCTATATCTGTGTCCTAATAAGGAAAAACGTTTTGAAACGAGAGAAACGGGCGGTATGTTTACTATCGGTTGACCTTTACAGTAGCCTTAGGACTGGAGCTAGCACTTTTGGCATGGGTCACGTTGGACGAAATAGAACCCCTTCGCTGAATATTGTTTGGAGTCGCGCCCTGCAAAGATACAGATTTTTTAGTGTTTTAGCCGCCATAATTCGAGAAAGCTCCGACAAACAACTTGTATTAAGAATCGTGAAGGCTTTGCTATTCATTCATCAACCTGACCGAGTGTCACCAAAGGCGAGTGACGTGTCAGCAGCTGATTGGCTATATCAACACACGTGAAAAAATACGATATTTTTTCACGTGTGTTGTTACGGCTTTTCCTAGGGCCAGGAATCCCTGTATAACACTGCAGTTTATGTGATAATTACTTTTAACTGGAGCTCATTCGAAGTGAGTGAGCCCACTCCAAATTAAGTATCCACGGTGAACAATCAGAGCAAAGAAAAAGGAAACCGAGGAAGTAAAAAAGAGTTAGCTGGAATAAAAGGCGCTCAGTTTACCGTTGGATAAAGTTTCAAAATAGCCACCCACTTGACATGTTGATTTTCGGGTTTAATGCTTACTTGAATGAAACTAAAGATCAAATCATTGGGGAGGGAAAATTTGGTGAATAAAATTCAAACCCATAACGGAAACTGGTAGGTTATTCTATACAATCTAAAGCCTTTTAACGTTGATTGGCCGCCGTAAAGAGTTTAAAAGCTGACGATTCGAGCGTTAGCCCTTCGTCAGAGCGACTGGAGAAATTGTGGGTTGTGTTTATATGCAAAAAATGGAACTACGCAATTGGTGGGAATATGATGACGAGAAAACAAGAATAAATTAGTTAAATGAAAAGCGCTCGTTGATACCGTGGAGATTAAGTGTGCCGATGTCAAAGATAATTTTTTTTCCTAGGGTTTTGCGGCTCTCCGAACTGCCTAGATGTAGAGAAAGGCCGCAAACTGCAATAAGCTGCTTAGAATGATTAGGGAGATTAGTGTAGAGCGGCCGAAAAAGGTGGCGCAGTCGTTCTTTGGCGGGCCGACCTCTACCGAAAAGAAGCTTTGCGGCAGCTTTCTGACACCTATTATTATGCAAAAGTCGACAGAGATCCCACTTCTATCAATCAAAACATTGTCAAAAACACGATTAACGATCTTCTAGCTAAATAAGAATTGCCCGCCATAGCAAAAAATCTCACCATCACCACTCCTAGAACTTCGTGTATATACTATTCACCTAAAATCCACAAGCCTATCAACCCAGGTCGACCTATTGACCTATCTATTTAGACAAAATTATGCCGGTACCTATCGTCAAAACGTTACCATCATACATAAAGAACAGCAAACAGGCACTTGAAATTTTTCACGACTTAAATTTCCTTAGCCAAAACAAACTTCTTTTCACTATGGATACTATATCTCTCTATACTGTCATTCCCAATGGCGAAGGTTTCCAAGCCCTCAACCCTTTTATCGATCAACGAACTGTTAAGGAACCTAGCTCTGAAACACTACTCTATCTAGTCAAACTAGTACTATCACTCAATTGTAACTCATTCGGTGGCAACTACTACAAACAAAACTGTTGGCGTAGCCATAGGTACTGAAATGGGACCCAGTTACGCCAATCTTTTCGTAGGTTTTATCGAACACTCATTTTTCAGTCAACCCAACGGCCCCAAAGCTGAACTCTACTGTCGCTAAATTGACAATTGCGTCTCTCCTAGAAAGGAGCACACTCAATTTATAACCCCTGTCAATTCCTTTCAAACGGCTCAGAAATATACCTCGGAAATTTCTTTCGTCACCATGTTCAAATCAATAGCATAGCACCTTTTTCTGAATATAAACAAACAACACACAATTCCTCCATTCGCTCTGACGAAGGGCTAACGCTCGAACGCCAGCTTTTTTAAACCTTTACGGTAGCCAATCTACGTTATCAACTTGGTTGATAATGCTAAATTACCCTGTTATACACTCCCACCGACGTAGCACCACAGTTTCTTCAGAAACTTACCCCCTATATTCTTTTAAAGGAAGATCTTAGATTCGTTATTTTGCCGGAAAATAGACATCTGCTATAAATCGCCAGATAGCGTGACTTTATAACATTCAAATTCCCAGGAAAACGTAGATTTTCCCTTATAACTAGTAAGAAAGTAAGCAAGTAAGTAAAGTAAAAGCTTTATTAATGTGTCAATGCATTTAGTTTTCACAACTAATTGGGGACACAAAAAAATAAATAAATAAATAAATAAAAAATAGATAAGATAAAATAGAATTATTCCCAAACAGGAAATTACGAAGGATGTTTATATAATTCATATGAATAACATGTATAAATTGCGCAATAAACAGTAGGTATATATAAAAGGTGGTCTCTAAGAGTTGCACAGGTTACAATAGCTATTGTTGTGTTTAAGAGTGACGATAGGTCTTTTTTCCTAATGTTTTTTTTTAAGGATTCAATATTCAAGGAGCCTTTAAATTTATTATCCAGTTTTGACCATATATGTTATCTCAGAGAAACTAATTATAATGATCAGATAAATTTAATATTAGGGCCCCATGCTGTGCTAGCTATAGTTCCTTCACTATATAGACACTGATATTTCTTATAGCTTATGTGTATATCTGTGCGATAGCATTCCATGAACCACTTTATTTACATAGTACATTTTGGAGGAAAGCTGGAAGAAGGGCAATATAGAACGCCGCGCATGGTCAGAGTAAAGTAATGGAAATTGAACAAACAAGGATTTCATGGCAATTTAGACTCCCTCATACACAGAAATAAGGAATCAACAAAGGGAAATGTATATTTGTTTCACTGTTATAGGTATCATATTGATATCGTTTCTTTTTATGTTTTTTGAAATTCTGATTGGTACCACCTGCAATTACACATGGGGATCCTGCCAATCCCACCTAAAAACTTTAACGTAATTCTTACAATCCCCGGTGGGACCTTGCCTTTCCTACACGGGATGCTCTCTGGGGTGTTCTTTGCTTAAACACAACACTCTCCACAGTCCCAGGTGAGATCACGGCTGGGGACTGACTAAACATGCTCTACAAAATTCCAGTTAGCATCCCACGTGGTACTCTTCTGAAAGTTGTGAATTTATCCTCGTGAGGACTCTTCCTCTAATGAGTCCTAGGTGAGCTGCACTTTACTCTGTGTGTTTCCTTGTGAAAAACATTCAACGAGATTGCAACATTCTGAACATAGAATTCTCCTATAGAATAAGCCACATGCCATTAACTCTGATCGGTGACAAAACTGTTGACACAATGACCTTTTCAACCCCCTGTCACTTCAATTGGATCTCTTTTGCCCTTGTTAAGTAAACCTATTCGCCCTCTTCTCTCCCAAAACAAAGTTGTACTGTGATTCCATGAACTTTTAGCTACATGCAAACAACATTGAATGAGGGAGGGGAGGGGGGTTTTGTCAATGGAGTGTGGTAAAGACAGGAGTGTTATTCTACATATATAGATAGGGCTCTTTTAACTGATTTTGACGCTGATCGTAGCTTGTACTCCAAAATAGCCTATCAGTCTTTTAGAAAATTTCTTAACGGAAAGGTAAATTTTGAAACGATCACAAAGCACATGTTGGAGTACAGTTATAGACAAGGTAAAACTTGATTTTTCACTGGCTAAAATGCACTTAGGCACGTACGATCGAAATTTGATCTGTGATCCGAAAGATCCTAATTTCATTTTGAAGTTCAACAGCGAGAAGGTTTCAGAGAATTACACGCTGTACTCACCAAATACATACATTTATGTAATTATACATCTTGTTGCACGTTATTTGTTTATCCATATATTATTATTTATTTATTATTGTTATTAAATACTTCCAAGTTTGAAGCCACTGCTTTGCAAACAATAACGTTTACTCATTCAATAATCTGTTTCAAGTTTCAACCATAACAAAAGTAAAGAGTAATTTCAAATAACTTTGGTTCTGGTAAATATTCTTAAAAATGAATCGCCGGAAACTTTTTTCATCGACGATCATAATAAGAATGCATATCATTAAATACAACAAATATTATAAAAGGAAACTCCAGCGAAAAATATATTTACAAGAGCAAAAAAGTTGAGGATCTCAGTTTCCGCATTACATATTCACATTGATTAAGGATTGTATTTCTGTAGCCATACATACATTTTCGGCCCTCCTCAGTTAGAGTTTTTTCATCAAGTTTGGACCTGATTTATTCTTTTTTCGCATTTTTTTTACTTTGGATGTTATAACTGGGAACTTTCATTACTGACACTAAAAGGATTATAGGTAGAATGGTCAAGAATTTACTTGTCTTCAAACCTGAAACTGATATCCTATGCTTTCTATGACGCTTTCGACATCGCTAATCCTGCATTATGCAGACGCTTCCACCAAAAGTCGAAATGAAGGCTATTAGAACCTATTTCGTGTTTTTTGAAAGATTTTCAACTGTTCGATTTGAGTAATGGAGTCTGGGTACTCATTCAGAAGGTTTGCTCGAACTTCGACTGAAGTAAAGGTAGCGAAAAGAACATTTGAGAGAAGAAAATAGCAGCGAGAAAGTTGGCGGGGGAAACTTTCATTTTCTCGCTCGACGGACCATCGAATCATGACTTCCCCGCTCTCAGATTTATCTTTCATAGTATGAGAGCAGTTCAAATCTCGCGCGCGCTACGCAGTCACTGACTGAGACTTAATTCTTTGTGTGCATAATAAGTAATGGTAATAGGACTGAGTGGAGTCCAATTCGATCTGTAATCATACGAGTGATAACAAAATCGGACGACCGCGCAGCGGAAGTTCGATTTGTTTATCACGAGTATGATAACAAACTGTCCGATAAAAAAAAGTACACATAAAGAGGTTGAAGATACACCGAAAATTTTTTTCCGATTACTCGCGAACTTTTTCGCGTCGCTTCGGCCAAAGTCCCTCAGCGCTACAAAGAACAAAAGGACTATTGTTTAATACTTAATGTGAAAAGTTGAGCTTGAACAATAGACCATTTCTTGATACGCGGCCTAAATGTGCTCTCCCTTTCCCCACCTCTTTTTCATATTCGAACCTTGCACGACACAATGCATATGTCTATTTATAATTTAAAAACCTATGACACGTTAAGAAACAAAATACCTTACGGCTAGTCGTTTAAAAGAAAAAGAAAAATCAGTGCCGTTTTTTTTTTTTCACGAGAAGATGAACGCCTATATTTATGTAGAGTGTGTACAAATGACGTCGGTACAAACTGTCATGTTTCAATGCTCAATGAAACACGACGCGTAAAGATAAAGATAAAAACTCAACAGATGCCTCAAGAACAAGTGAAACAAATAGTCAGCGATGGCAAGGCACTTAAGACAACAATGTTCTTAGTTAGTGCCATTATATTTTGCCTGTTTCCAGGTTCTGTATATGGTCTCCTACGCTTTATTGTGGGTACTATACAATACGATACAATACAATACAATACTTTATTTACCCACGCTACATCTAGGAGTGACCCGACTTTTTCTTCGACCATGGGTCATGGAATGAAATGGCCGATGTCCTGCCTTATCAGATGCATGGTTACACCTAACATGAAGAGTCAATTTAAATAACTGTTTGGCCTGGATAAAGATTCTTAATGATGAATTTGCGCAAACTTTTGTCATTGTCGATCATATTAAGAATGTAATTTCGGAAACATCAGATTTATTTCGGAGAAATTCTTTCTTAAATATAACAGATCTTCTTGTAGGAAATAGAGGAGAAAAATTTTTTGCGAGAGCAGAAAAGCAGATGATCTCAGTTCGTGCATTACACACTCATTTTGGTTATGGATTGCATTTTTGTAACTAAACATTTTTAAAGTGGCTATGTTTCAGCTCTCTTCGCAGTTTTATCGTTAAGTGTAGAGCCTAATTTGTCCCTTAGTGCGCATTTTATGCTATGAATGTTATGACTTTAAGTTTGATTCAAAGAAAAGTGTTGGGAACGGGATGCTCAAGGATTTACTTGTCTGCCGACTTGAAACTGGTTTGCTCTGTGAGATGCTTTCAATATCGCTGATCCTGGTAATATGCCGACGCTTTCACTAAAAGTCAAATTGAATGCAATTAGGCACTTTTTAGTGTTTTGATGATAACTTTTTGAAATATTCTAGCCGAGTAAGGTAGACTGAGTACTCACTCGGAAGTTATGCTCGAACTACCGAATGCTTCCGGCCTTAATGATTTGTACATTTTCATTGCTCTTCTTCATATGGCAGAGTTGCGCGACACAATGTCCAGTAAAACAATTAGAAAATATTGAAAAATTGAAAAACGAAAATGCTTATTACGTTCTTAGTGGTGCCAAAGTCGCGGAGCTGACGACCAATCACAATCACGAATTTTGTTATGCTTTTGATCAGGAAGGGTTCGGGGTCATATTCGGGGGAGGGTCATGTTTTGTGCTTTGAAAATTATGACATATAAGAGCGTTGTGATAACCTCAGGCAGGTAAGTTTTTCTCTGTGAGCTTTTGTTTCGGTTCAGTGCCCTTGAAAACATCTGTAGTCTGTTAAATACTTTGTGAACTTCTTGACATAACCTCCTACGGGTGCTGATAATCTTCAAAAGTAAAAAGGCACTGTTAGCACTCCGACTGCTTCGAAAATTTTTCACAAAAATTCTGAATACCTTTGATGCCCAAAACTTTTCATGAAAACGAACTAACGTGCGTCACATCTGTCATTTACACTATGCACGCAGTTATCAGTGAAATAATTTTAACCAATCAATTAATTGCGAAATCCATACGTGGAATAGTAGATCTGACCTCAGATATAAATATACTTGAATTCATATAACACCAAGACGTTATTATTAGACTGTAATTTGACTCTTGCAAGCTTCAGTTAAGAGCTGATCTATGTCTCTCAATAAAAAGTTCATATTGCAGTACTACGGCAAGATTTAATGACTGATTCATCATAGTTTAGCTGTTCTTTGATAGATGCTATGTGAACAATGGAAAAAGGATGTTATGCTGTAGCAAGGAGCCCTCCTTATTAATTCATGGTGAAAAATACTTCTTAATTCGACTGAAATTTGTTTGAGTTTCACTCAGTACGCTTCGCAGACCTGGGATTCAAATGTACGCTGAGCCCGTATGCAGTCATGTCTTTTGAATAAGAAAATTGCGCATGCGTTCTCATCATAACAACATGGTGGACGTGACGGAACTCTGCGAAGATGGCTACAGATTGGCAATACAGGCTGTAGATTTAGACAAAATGGGAAGCGGAGGTGCAGCTGCTTTTTTCTACATTGAAGCTGCCGAAGCTCTCATCAAAGCATTATCATATGATCCCAGTTTAGAGGTGAGAGATAAAGCTTCGCAGTATGTCAGGCGAGCCGAGGAGCTCCGAGCGCTGGAAGAAGGTAAACTTCACATAACTTAGCTTCGATCTTATGTCGCTGGAATATTTATATACGTCTTCATTGTGGGTGGGACGTTGCTGGTAGATATAATGAAATTAGGTCAAAATGTCAATTTATCTGTATTCTTGAAGAACAAAATTATTTGTTGTTACTTTTTTAAATACTCTAAATGTACTTCCGGGATTTCCTAGGAACTTTTTAGCCAAAATTGTCAATAGCATGTCAAGAAAGTATTATATTGATTACGATATTTCTATTTTCCGGTTAATACTGTATACGCTCTAAATTAGAGAATCGTAGAGACATTTTAAATATGGTTGAATGAAGATCAGCTTTACGAACCATCAATTTTACAACAATCTACAACTTATTAGTTATCATACATGTACAACGCACATGTAGTTCACGAGATTAGTTAGTTTATAACAGATATCAGACAGAATATCAAAAACTATATGTAGTGAATATTTTATTAAATTTAGTCTTTTTCAACTGTGTTTCCTCAGGTTCATCTCACGCACCTACTTCTTTCAAGACTTCACAACAGGCAATGAAATAATTTTTGATCAACTGATTTATCATTTCATTGTTCAAGTAGCCTTTCCATGTCTTCTAATAACCTTAAGGAAGATGAGAGGTATTTGAAATAATATTCATTCATTATGTGTGTAGAATGGTGTGGAGAGAGCAGAATTTCTTCTGAAGCAAGCACTACATGAAGATGAAAGAGGCAGACAAATTGATGCTTTACCTCTCTACACTGATGCAGCCGATCTTTGCATCAAAACTGTGAGTTGGTATTCTGTTAAGACTGAATTAGCTTTTTATTGCTAGCACTTACTGTTTTCACTGTTGCCACAAGTATTATAATTTCTATTAGCTTATTTACAATGTAATTAAGCTAATTGGTGATGACCTTTTTTTCTGAAGACATTAAGCTTTTTCCCATAGCCTTTTTGGCAGGGGTGCTTTGCAAAATCTTTGCTTTACTTAATAAGCTTTTCTGTCTTGCAGTGATTCCTGTAACTTCTGTCTTCCTGTCCTATATATACAAATGAATACCCATTGTTCTTTAATCATGGCCTAGATCTTTTGAACTTACACTATGTGTTAAATACTGATTTCGTTCTTCATGTATCTTCTGTTCTTTTTACACCACTCATGTAACAAACAGACAGGGCTTCCTTCTTCTTCTCCTTCTTCTTCTTCATCCTGTTGAGTGATGAGGAGATATATACATATATCTCTGTCATATGAAAAAAAAATTGGTTACAGACCTAAGGTTGTTCAAATGAAGGTTCAGATCAACTGTCAGTCGATTATCTGACATTATCTGATCATTTAACCCTTAAACTCCCGTGAGTGACCAAGACAGAATTTCTCCTTACTACATCTATACAATATCATGCAGACAAGTGATGAGAATAAAGAAAAATATCAATTATGGGAGTGATAATTGATCCAATACCAAATTCTCCAAACTAACATAATGAGAATCATTTGGCAGACATTAAGGAGAATTACTAATGAGATCTTGGGAGTTAAAGGGTTAAGCACAATGCCCATCATGTAGTACGTCCTTTAAATTCTTGTTTTATGTACAACATAATTTGCATTGTGTATTATTGCCTTTTCATTTGTAGAGCAGCAGTCTACCAGATAGTGATAATTTAAAGAAAAAACTCCATGGTCTTGCCAAGCAAGCAATAGAGAGGTAAACGGTTTCAGATTTGGTGAATTACAAGCAAGATAAAGATATTGATATCTAGTGACTAGCATCTAATTTCTCCTTACAATATCACCACTGAATCATGCATTAATGTCATGAGAACAAAGGAAATGATCAACAACTAAAGAAAATTCTTGATTGTTAAACAAATTCTCTTTTTCAGCACCTTGTAAATGTAAAGAGATCAGTATGGAGAATATGAATGCTGATGTTAGGGTGTGAAGGGTTAATTTTCATTGAACTTTAAAATCTCTCCTACATTACATATATATATTGTACTTGCACATAAAATAGTTTTTGATATTTTTATGCGGTAATGGCCAACCAATGTACAACCCTCATTCTTTAGTCTTTCAATCCAGATGGCGAAGTTTGACAAGGGATGAATTGTGCAGATTCTCCAGAATATGTTGGGTATATAAAGTATACTAAAGAAATTACACAGACTTTTAATCCTCTATTCTCAGAGCTGAGGCAATTAAGGCAACATTAAGTACTAAGCCCGAAAGCGCTGGGTCAGATTCAACGACAATCACTAGAGGTGTGAAGGACCTTTCCTTAATGTCGTCTGGAGAATCAACCCCTGGGACAAGCACTGGGGACAAGAGACCTCATCTCACAGTCAAGGAATTGGAAGTTTTAAAGTAAGACATCTTTGTTGCATCTAACACATAGTTCATGATCAAATGTTTTATCACTCATTTTTAACCCTTTTTTATTGCTATTTTGAGTGAAGATGAGATGCAACAATATTACCTGCATTTGTATATGTTGTGGTGCAACATTTTCATGGCTTGATGTCTTTCAGATGAGTTTTCTTTTTCCTTTTCTTACCTTACGGAATATGAAAAAGTAGAAAATCAAAATAAACTGGCTTGCAATGTTCAAAATGAGGAATTTTGTTACAGAATTTTAACTGGATGGACACATTTGTCTATAACTTTTACTATGAAAATTCAAAGAGTTTGTTTCCTTGTTTCAAGCCTAAGGCATGAAAAAATTGTTCTTCTGAAATTGAGAAGCATTGAGATGATTTTACATGTTACTAGAGTTTATTTCTACAATCTACCTGAAGTTAAACATGTTCAAATGATCTTACTTGAGGATTTATTATATTTGAATATTAAGAACTTTATGCCTTTGATTTTTCTTTTACCAATATATACTGTATGCATTCATGTGGAGTACAGGTATGCCCGTATCGCAAACTGGAAAACTTTGACTGTCAGCATCATACACAGTGTAGCAATGTAAATTTTGAGTGAGAATGTGTTTATACTTTTCTCAGGAGAACTTCTTATATAAATGGTAAGCTGTACCCTCCCTGGCTGGATATTGACCTGAAAGAAAGATTTGCTTATCCTGACTGTTATAGGTAACATGTACACATTGTCATTTTGATACAGTAAATAATGTGACAAGAGGTTTTTAGTTGTATACTATTAGCTATGGGAGATGTGGTATGGTAACCTAATGTTTAGACCTTTAATCCCAATTAAAACATTGTCTTGGAGATCACAGTGATGGCCTAACAGTTGATCTACTGGTGCCAGTTGTTCAAAGGATGATTAGTGCTGACCAAGGGTTAAATTTGAATCCAGGTTTTACTACTGTTCAAAAGCCTCTATTGAGCCATTTTCCTTTTTTTAAAGCATGCCATTATCAGATTGAAGACAAAAAGAATTACACTGGATTTTCTTCAAAAACTTTCAAATTTGAAATCAGGTCTAACACAAACCCTTGGTTACCCTAACCTAGCTTTGAACAACCTGGCCCTGGACTCTGGGTTTGCAACTAGACTGGGTCATTGTCTTGCATTCTTGGGCAAGGTGCTTAACTCTCATGCTGGTGGGAGGGGCTGTGATCTCATCCATGCGGGGAGAAGTAAGACACTGATGAGCTCCAGCTGGATGGGCTACTTGCCTAGAGTGGAGACATTTCTTAATTGAGAGGTGCAAGTGTAAGCTTTGGCTTTGGTTATGTGTTCATCTTGAGCAAGACACTTTGCTCTCAGAAGTAGTCTCTTTTCTCAGAAGTATGAACAGGTACTGGCAAACCGTTAGAGAAAGTTGGCAAATTTCAGGGCTGGAGGAGACTTATAATGGCTAAGCATGCTGTCAGGGAGGGGTTGGGGGTAAAAGTGTTCCTTGTCCTTTTGTACTTCAGAGATTCAAGAAAGCTCCAGCAGTAGGAGCCTTCAACATTTCTTCCACCAATGGTCATTTTACCATTGTCCATGAAGGGGGGGGGTTTAAACCTTGCCTCTCTGGGGTGAGAAATTTGAATAAGAAGTGATAAGTCTTTCTAGCAGAATGTAGGTGTTTTATTTCTTAATATGGAGGTATTTAAAGATAAAAAGTTCACTTTTGTGAGTGAATAGCTCAGAAGAAAAGGTCTAAAATAAGGTGTAGGTTTTAAAGCTCGGAGTAGAAAGTTATAGTTGCTAATTTTGATGTTGGCCCTAGGGGTGGGAATTTGAACAAACAATCTTTTAAAGTTCAAGTGTGGGGTGGGAAGGGGGGTTGCCCATGGGTGGTGTTGAAGCTTTGAATCAATGAACACATATCTACTCACATTCTCACATTTTAATAATGTATCTTAACATTTGTTACTGTAGTGATAAAGATGGTCAGCTTGCCCTGTCACAGAAACAGAAAGCTCGCTTTACTAAATGGTTAAGGTATGTCCAATAATATTATATCAGAGCTAAATTTCCAAACATGAAATCAGCATTAACATGCTTAACATTTCCCATATCACTTCGTTATCGTGACTGTAACTTTAAATTCTTTGTCAGGCCAACAGAGTTGTGTGAAAACCCAGAAATGATTTATGCTATATCAAGCTTCAGTATCAAACAGGTAAATTATTATGAATACTGAGAAAAAAAAACGCTGTAAAATCATCTGAAACGCAAATCTTAATCTTAGATTTTAAAAGGTCATACATTCCCAACAATTAAACGCCAAATTACGTCAAACAACAGTTCAAGCTCGAATATTTTCAAAGTCGCCATTTGACTACCTAAAATCATGAAGTGGTCGCCAGAAATAAAATTTAAGACTGATTACACACAGAAATGGACGACACATAGTCTTCCCACCAATGAATGGAAACTATGACGAATTAAAGAAAACAAACAAAACAAAATAAAACAAAACAAATGCCCAACGTTTGAACATGGTCTTTACTAAATTGAAAAAAAACAAAACAAAAAAAAAAACATTTATCTTCCACCACAAAAATAATTGAACGCAATAATCTATACCACAGCGAGAGGAAATGATGCTTACTGTCCGCTTGGGGAGCATGGATGCCGTGGTAGTGAGAGTGTTCGCCTCCCACCACTGTGGTCCGGGGTCGATTCCCGGACCTGACGTCACATGGGGGGTCCTCCGGGTTTGCTCCTTCCGCATCAATAAACATTCTAAATTTCATTTTTACGTGGAAACAGTGGACAAGAAGAGCCACTTCGTGTAATGTCCACCACTAAAAAATTCCCCATTCTCATTCTCAATCCCAGAATTCCCATTACGCCGCTGGTGACTAACGCTAATCGAGAATTTTGTTGTTTTTGATTAACCCTCTCAATATTCAAACGTATTGTAAGCAAAAAGTTCTTTCCTTCTCTTTTCTCAGACCATTGTGTCAGATTGCTCTTTTCTGGCCTCGCTGGCGATCAGTGCTGCTTACGAGAGAAACTTTAAAAAGACTCTTATTACAAGGTAGTACTGTAATTTTAGAGTATCATAGTCTGTAGTGCAGGTTACTTTTTAGCCCTTTATCTCATTTTTAGCCCTTTATCCTTACAATATCAATACAACATTAAGCAGACAAAAGATGAGAATGAAGACAAATATTACTTGGGGTATTATTAGTTGATCCAATACCAAATTCTCCGAACTAACATCATAAAAATTTTCTGGCAGACAGTAAGGAGATTTTCCAATAAGTTCTTGGGAATGAAAAGATTACGGAAGGCGAGATAGCGTTACAAACTTGTTATATATGGTTTAGGTTCATAGAACAGACCATAGTGGACGGAGAGAAGATGAGACGAGATAATTCCATTTTTTTTTAGATAAAATTCAATTCTCTCTCAAGCTTTTTGTATTGCTCAAGCCATAAGTATTGCTCCATAACATAAAATCGTAAAGACAAAGCAGTCTTAAGTGCGTCTTCCATTTTGTTTTTGGCACGTTTTGGGTGATATATGATTTAAATCAGTAAGGCGGCCTCAATTAATCACTACTTAGTGAATTGAAATTAATGATACGCCCATTTTTAAAATAGTGCAGCCCGATGAGAAGGCTCAAGAAAGAACTTAACTCGATTGACTGGAGAGCCGGCGCTTATGCTACGAAATTTCTAACTAGAACCGTGTGCCAGTGATTTTTAGTCTCCTTGCGGGTCTCAGACTGGCTTTTTTTCATTTTGAGTTCACTCTACAAACCACGGGACAAGGGCATATCTCTTATGCTTATATACAGCAATTTTATGAAGAGCAACCGAGGTATTCTTATTTTCTCTCTGTCCAAAATTCTCGCGCCTCCCTCTCAACCAATCAGATACGAAAGTAAATCACATGACCAGGTGAAGACTCGCGTTTCCCGCGCTTGAAGCATGTTTAGTGTATTTTACTACGTTCTCGTTGGCTCCCTGTGTGATCTACCTTCGTTTTGATTGGCTGTTATGATAGCTTTTGTTTTACTTTCACGATGTTCAATCGAAAAGTATTTGAGTGGAAACATTATTTAATATACTGAGGTTACAATTACAAGGAAAATTATGATAGAATTTTTGCAGGTGTCTTGCGTTTTCTCACGTTAATTGAACTGGGTGTCTGTATTCTTGTTCCAAATAGTATCATTTACCCACAAAATCGCGCGGGAAAACCAGTTATTAATCCATCTGGTAAATACATGATTAAGCTGCGAATCAATGGAGTCTCAAGAAAGGTAAACTTACGGTGTATGTATTTAGCCATCTTTGACAATCCACGCATTATTTTTTCATTTTTAATTACTTGCAAAAATTCAGTGCTCTGTTCACTGTTTGAAGGCGTATTGTTGCAGATCATGGTATAAGATTTGTACCTGAAAAAAAGTTGTTACTTGTCTCGTCTCTACCGTGAGAAAAATAGAAAAGTCTGATTGCCACACTAGAAATCGAACCCCACACTGTCCTTTTCCCCGGTCTGATGCAATACCATTGAAAGTTGTTCGCAAGGTTCATAGGTGACAACAGTCCTACATACCACTGGATGAGTATAGACGAAAGCAATGTGTTCATAGATAGAATATAACACAGGATGAATTTTAAATTCTGAGGTCTCTTTAGCTCAATAGTAGAGTATGGAACCCTATAATCCAACGGTGTGTGGTTGGTTTCCCGTGGGTATGACATATTTTTCCGTTTTACGCTCGTGACAAAACAAATAACGCCCTTCCTCACTCAATGTTCGTAAACTTTTCATCTTTAATTTTTAAGTTTTAATTTCTTTACTTCTTTTCCCAGGTGATTATTGATGATACCCTTCCTGTTGGAAGAGATGGAGAACTCCTCTGCTCCTACTCCAACAATCGCAATGAAATGTGGGTCAGTCTTATTGAAAAGGCTTATTTAAAGGTAGGTCACTTCCCGTTCAAAAGTTAACTTCTACTGTGTAGTTGACGTTTTCTTTCTTTACTTCACATTTTCTTATCTCTACGGGAAAATCTCAGCTTCCCACCCATCCTGTGGTAACACATCTTTTATTGGACTTTTGATAACCGGACTCGCACATGTATGTCCTCATGGAGGGGGTAAGGGGGGAGACTTTGCCTGTTGAAGATGATTTGCGTGATCCGTAAGTTTGATGATTTGTTTGTATTTAATGTTTTGTTTTGGACAGGTGATGGGAGGATACGATTTTCCCGGGTCCAACTCCGTAAGTAAATTCGCAGTAATATACAAAGTGCTCAGTGGTCAATACGCTGGACTCCAAGTCGAGAGGTCCTGGCTCGATTCTCGACCGGTCATTCTGTTGTGTTGTTAGACAAGTCACTCCACTCTTGCAGTGTCCTCCTGGAATATAATTATTCAATAGTTCCGAGTTTAGAAAGCTAAGTGGTCAACTGTACCGCGGGCATGCCAACGCCACGGCTTTGTCCAGTAGTCCAGTGGTCAGTGTACTGGGCTCCGAGTCGGACGACCCGGGTTCTAGTCCCGGCCCGGGAAAGGCGTTGTGCCCTTGAGACGTGCGGGAAAAAAAATGCGAGCTCCGCTTGGCTAAATCTCTATATTTTGTCTTATGTGTGTTAGCAGACTCACAGTGTGATTCGCTTGTGGTCTAAAGCGTCTCTTAAGGAAGTAGACTCAGAGTAGGAATGTAGACTTTGAGTTTGGTCTTCCAATGAAGTACAGAGAGAGGAATTTTTTGCTGAAGTTTTGATAAGTTTTCTATTTCGTTTCAGAGCATTGACCTACACGCTCTTACAGGCTGGATTCCCGAGAGAATGTCGATAAAACGAAACAATCCAACGTTTAATGAGAGTATGCATTTCGATCGTCTCTTGAATGGAGTGAGAAGTGGTAAGACTTTTCCTTATATTTGTTTGTACAAACCCTTGTATGGGTAAAATGCAGGAAACAGTGACCGCTTTTTTTCTGATTTTTAGTGTCAAATGTCCATTACATTATAGTGCTGGCACAGAATTGGAGAGGACTTGGAATGAATGACAGAAAAGACAATTGCGAAAAAAGGCATTTTGGGCTACATCTGACCGATCAATTGATATCAATCAAGTTTAAAATTTTCGACCAGAATCGACTCAATTAATTTTTATCTCAATTTTCGAAAGTGTCGTTTGCACAGATGGGAAATCGTCTTCTTTAAGCCCGTCTGCTTGTGGCCACGAGTTTCCCATCTGGAGATCATCGCACCTTAAATCGTGAAACCGTGAGAAAAAACACTAAATTATTACCTCAAATCCTCAAAGAAGATATCTAGATCAAAACTGTGTCATGCTGACTCAAACTCTTCTCAACTGTCGCCAGATTAGTGTTTCAATGTTAAATACTGGAAAGATGTAAACGATTGAACATGGCTGCGGGTTTTTACATCTGACGCAATGGAAAAAATGTAACCAACCACATCATTCATTTATGTCCCAGGGGACTGTCTCGTCACGGTCGCAACAGGCCCAATGAGCGAAAGCGAGGCTGACCGAGCGGGACTTGTGCCCACTCATGCCTATGCATTGTTAGACATCAGGAAAGTCAAGGTATGCCTGCACTCCCTTTTTTTCTGTCGTTACCTTGGTATTGCCACGCGTTGTAGGACGTAGAGCACGTTGGTCTTTCTTTAAACTTCTCACGCAATACACTGAAAAGCATTGTCATGAAAAATTACAAAGGACGAAGTTTGGTTTTGGAGATAACTTGAGGAGGACATTAAACGAGAAAATTGTAAAGATTTGAACGGAAATTCTACTCTAGCGCCGGTGTGTCCTTTAGTGAGGCCTTGTTAGCAAGGTCTGTTGGATAAGTATGCATTTACAGCGAATTATTTATTTGTAGAGTGACTTACTTTTCTTGAGCAGTGCTTGAATATCAAGTTTTAATTTTTTCTTTTTTTATATGCAGGGACATCGTCTTCTTCAACTCAAAAATCCTTGGAGTCATTTGAGATGGAAAGTATGCACCTCACCTTATCAATCTCAGTTATTTGTTGAGTGTTTTTGTAAACAGAATGTCGGGAAAATTTCCAGACCTGATTGGCTGAGACAGCGACATCCCAACTTTGACTGTTGAGATCAGATTCGATCGCTTTTTCTCCACTCAATGCGCTTTGCAGGAAAAGGCAAGCGTATCCTATATTTAAACAGTCTCAACATTTCTTGAAACCAGGTAATTATGATTTTACAGGGAAAATTCTCCGAAATGGACTCAACTAGTTGGACGCCGGAGCTTCAGAGAGCCTTGAACTACGACAGGAAAAGTGCTATACAGATTGACAATGGTAAAAATGTGGAGCATTGTATGTCATTAAGCGTTCCTTTATCCTCCCCTTGAGAGCGTCAGGTTCGTCTCCCTACCCTTCCCTTCTCTGACTAAAAACTCACAAACAAATATTATTGTTATTCGGTGGGGTTAGGTAGCAATATGGCTCAAGTAAACATGTATTTGGATAGCCAGGGTTGGTGGCCGTTTTAGAACCACAAAAAAATGCATACTATAGACTGTATTCAATAAATAGGGGCGGCAATCCAGGAGAGTTACCTTTGCCCTTAGTAGGTTTACATATTTCCCCCCCCCCCCGTGTGTCTTCCCACCCCTTGGGGGCTTATTAGAGCGCCCCTGTGTGTCTTTGTGTGCTTACCGGTTACAAGTGTTTTCCTCTAGATATAGAATCAAGGGATTTTTCTGTACACGATTATTCCAAATTTTGAACAACCCCACCCAGATCAGATGTATGTTGTAGTATTTTTTCCCTTTCCTTAAATGCTTCTCTGTTTCTCATCAGGAGTATTTTGGATCAGCTGGGAATGCGTTATGCAGTTTTTCGACGTGATCTACATGAACTGGAACCCCAAACTCTTCAAATATCGCTTCTCTCTGCACTCGTAAGTGTCATTGAGGCCCTTTGACTTCCTCCCTCAAGCTGCTACACATTTCTTTGTAAATTAGTTATGATAATTTATATGTTATATCAAATGCCCAAATCCTAACCAAAACGTTTATAAATGCCTAATCGTACGATTGAGCTGTACATATTCGTAAACTATGTGATTGAAATGTAATGGCAGAAAACCAATTATGGTATTTTAAAGTAACCAAGGAAAAACCAAAATGATACTACTAAAAATAAGCAATTTAGTAATAATAAATGTGTGACAAAATAAGACTTCAAAAAAAAGCTAAAAAGGAAAAGATAGATTTAAGTGTTTTAATTGTTGGTTTTGAGTCGGATTTTTCCATTTGATAAACATGACCTCGTTTACATTCATTTGAAAAACTAAGACGACAGAATCAATTCGTTTAAGACTCTACCGAGCATGAGTTATGACAAGCCTTGGAAGATTGTAAGTACTTGTCAACATGTAAAGCCTTGTCCGACAGATGGTGCTCATTATTGCGTGTACAAATGTAGCGAGTGGTTTCACTAATGTGACAGGCCTTACTGCCAGCATATGCTGAAATTATTTGAAAAGGAATTCTAGCTCGTGTTCTAATCTTCATGTAAAATTTTTCAGAAATGCTACTGACCCCATCATGAATATCGAACGTCTGTGCTAACTGCTAGTTAACTCGTGTGAAATATAAGTATGCGTGCATGCGGCATCTTTTATTTGCTTTGATTAGCAACAAAAATAATAACAATACCTGTAAAGTGATTTTAAGCGTAAAAAGTTGGACCAACAAGAAAGGTATTGCTGAGAGGGAAAACTCTTAATTTCCCTGAGAAAATCTCTCAACGCCGAGATAATCATAGGAACTGAGTATCAACAAGAGACAGAATTTCTCGTTCTGGCGGCTATACATGCTCTGGGCCAAATTTATCCTTGATAATGTAAATGTGATTTTTCTTTTTTCTCAGAATATTCACCATTATCTGACACACAATGAACCAAAAATCTATATAACTTGAACATTTTTCAACCAGAAACAAATTTGAACGTCGACGTACTTAAGTGAAAGGTTTCTCGATATTTTTTATTAGTATTTTACTGCATGCATTTCACTTAGGTACAGTTTCTTGAGCTGACGTTTCGAGCGTCAACCCTTCTTCAGAGCGAAACAGAAGGTAATATGCTATGGTCGCCATAGACACGGTTTGGTTAATAAATGTAAGGAAGGCTTAATTACTGGTATTGTTTCGTCTCCTAGGACCTGGACATCTGCTGAAGGACCCAAGAAAGACGTTTATAATATCGGTAAGTTCTTTGACCTTCGATCTCTGTGATATCAAGCTTTACGCCAATTTAGCTTTCACCCACTTTGAGAGGCGTACGACTGAGCACAGACAAATGTTTCAAAGAAGACTTTATTTTATGCAGAAAACTTCCCTTAAACAATAGGATGGGCTTGCACCTTTTTTAAATCCTTTTATGCTTGCCATCCTCTTGAAAGCATTATAGCAAACTCCACGAATTTTTTTGTTTCGAGCCAAATTGTCCATTTGGCCTTTTTACTTTTGAGAGTGCCGGATCGTCTGTTTGAAGTTTGAGAATTTTCAACATTTTCTGTATTGTCAGGGGTCGCCACTTTAGTTATGTTTATGTTTCAATTTCTGAACGACTGTGTATAAAAGAATATCATATATTTGAACTGCGGATTAATAATATTTTCATTACTGCTTAAGTAGTTTTTATTAAGTAGTTTTTATTACTGCGAAGATCTTTTTCATCTTCAATACGTTTTTTTCCCTGTTTGCGATCTATTGAAAAAAGTGTATATCAGTGTAGTATTTGTACCTATTTCAAATTGACAGGATGACCATTTAATTCAAAGTGGATGTAATTAAGTTGAACAAATAGAAACAGATGATTGAAAGAGATGTATAATATATTTGTCTCATATTAGTCGTCTGTGAAGAAGCGGAAATGAAGAGATTTTCCTGTGTGAACAAAACACTGTTTCTTTATTTTTTTTTGGTCATTGAAATTCGCTTGAATGCTTCGTTATTGACTTTAACAGTCGCCTGATATTTCCGTGAGATAATGAAAATACTGCGCGTTTAAAAGTCTTTCGGTAGGAGGTGAAATATAATCATCAATGATGCGTAGTTCTGTTTTGGAGGTAATCTGTGTCCTGGCTTAGACCAAATGATCGTTATTAAGTAATATTCTGCTGGCATTTTTGACTTAACGATTTCATTGATTGTACGTACAAATATAAATAGATAGTCCATGATGTCAGATGTAACGCGAAAAGAGCGTGCTTGACCTCGGCCTTCGTCTAACTCTTATTTTTACTTCGTTTATTTATACGAGAAAGGCCATGACAGGACGTTAGCTTTGCGTACCGAACGCTTAAAAGCCGCGTATGGCATTCTCACGATATAACTGATCTCGAACGTTAGAAAGGCATACTTGATACAAACAGTTACTTTATTACGGTTCTTTTTCCCAGTCGGCGGTTTTTAAACCGTGGATTGTGATAACAGCCATTTGGGCCCATGCCGCCAGGTTACTGAGTAGCTTCAAAGTGGCAGCGTCCATGGTCAACATTATTAGCACATTTTTAAAGATAGTTTTCGAACGGTCAGGTCGTATTTTGGCCGCCCAACCCGCGGTTACTGGTAACTTATTTACTTTTTTAATGGCGGGGATAAAGTGACTTAGTTTTCCGGTGCATGTCATCAGTTATCCTCAGTAACATTGTGGCAAAAATATGGATTCCTGTATGGAGCGACTACAAGGCCAGCAGTGTAACTACATCATAGAGTGCTTTTCGTTCAAGTTTTGTTAAACCCAAATTAAAGTAATCACAACAGCCAAACGGGAAAGGAAAATTTTCATAAGGAGCCGATCAGAACTAAAAGAAAAAACAAGTGAACTGCGCTTAGCGCGGGGAAACCCGGGTGACCAAGTTGCGATTGGTTTTAGTGCTGGGGAGAGAAAGTGGCGCGAGTTTTATTGGCCAATCGGAGCGAAGTTACGCAAAACCACAGCAATCCCAATTTACTCTCGATACTCAATGGAAAATTGCTCATAAACTCTTTCAACGTGTGCTACAATGAATGTAAGGATATCGGTGTGGAGTTGTTATTGGTGCTATCAGTGCTTTTGTTTAACAGGAGACAATCCGCAGTACAAACTGGAGTTACTTTCCTCTGACAGAGATACTGTGGTCTGGATCCTTCTTACTCGGCACATCACACAAAAGGTACACTTGCGATAGATAATAGTGACTTTTTGCCCTTTTGTGAACACTTCGAGAGAAGATTACCGGTTTCGCCATATCACGGTTTGATGTAAAAAACGCGTAGCTTAGAGTGATTCGATCTTCTATCACTCACACGTTATGCCACATTTCAACACCTTTAAAAATTCATTCGCTAACCTTCGAAAAAGGAACACACATTGTCTACCAGGGTCGTGGAGGACATGTTGGTTTTGTTAGCGCGCTGGATTCTGAGTCGAAAGGTCTGAGTTCGAGCCATGACCGGTTCATGGTCTTCCATCTCTGGTTAGGCATCTTACTTTCACATTGCCCCGCGTCATGTCCCCCAGGAAGTAAAGATAGGTTTAAGTGAATTGTCACAGAAACTTGAAGAAATGCGAGAGGATGCTGGCAATTGACTTTCACCCCCAGCCAGTAGTAATATCTTCAAGGGTTTATGGATTTTTCGCCCCATTGCAATTTCGCCCCTTACCAGTTCGCCCCCACTAAGACGAGGTCGCCTGTTCAAATACGACGAGGTCGCCTGTTCAAATACGACGAGGTCGCCTGTTCAAATACGACGAGTTCGCCTCCAAGTCGTTAACTCATTTCCTTACGTACTCGGCGAGGTAGGACGAACTAGTAAGGGGCGAACTTGCTATGGGCGAAACCTCCAGTCAACGCTCTCAGTAACTTCATACCTCAAAAGTCTGACAGCTATGCCAGTCAACCAGGTGTATGAACCCTTCATGTATTATCTGTCTATAACAAAGAAGAATATTTTGCGGACGAGTGTGGTTTCTGGTTTCTATCTCGAGAAGCAAGCGAATTGATGTTAATCTGCTATATTTTAGGATGATTTTGCAGAAAACAAGGAGTTCATAACCGTTCATGTGTATAAGTCAGATGGTGGAAGGGTGTTTTATCCGGGTTAGTGAATAATGTAAGAATATAAAATACTACTTAAATTAGGAGAGAAGGGGTTGTTGACGCGGAAACCGAGCATGTGTTAATAATTTTTCTTCGCTTTTTGTTCGGCGTTTTTATTTATCTAGTCTTTTTTCCTTTGTTTTGTTTTCAAAACCTTTTTTCCTAGTTTGGGCTTCGACTATCCCCGCTATAACCGAAAATTTCAGAGATGTCATAATTGTTAACAGTACTGAGAATTCTTTGACTAGTTTTATTTTGTTTTTAACAATAGAGAGAGGATACATACTTTTTTTTTTCTTGCTTCAGACAACCCACTCTTGGAAGGCACTAAAATAAACAGTCCATTTTACCTCGCTAAACTAAATGCCCCGAAAGGAACAAACCGCTTCACACTTGTTGTCTCTCAGTATGAAAAAACAAATACAATTCACTACACGCTGAAGGTATGTGTATCGTGTATCGTGTATCGTTCTTCTTTCTTAAATGCCCTTTCCACAACCATCTCTTTACCTATAACTCTGACTGGCTTCTTGAAGGCTTGTCTTTGGCGCGTTGAACGCGTAACACCCCAAAATCCTGCTGCGAAGAAAACCAGTGGTTAAATTGCCAGTGTAAGATTTCAAATAGATTTCATGTTGTCGTGCGTCTGTTTAGTTTGAAATCCTGTGTTGACCACCGTGCATTATTTCTCTATTTATCGTAGGTTTTTTCTTCAACTGAATTCCGTTTATCTCCAGTTCCTGTCCCCTACACAGTTGAAAAGCAGGTAAGTTCCTGCAGACGCCATAACCTGATCTTGATTCTCGTCGCACACTGATTCTTAAAATTCAGTGTTCGAAGTTAAGTCGTCGCATCTACTAACCTTTGGATTAGACAAACACCCTCTCTTTTTCGTTTTTTTACAGGTGACCGGTGAATGGAGGGGAAAATTAGCCGGTGGCTGCCCTAACTTCTCTTCACATTCCAATAATCCCGTGTATCGCCTGCAAATCAAGACAACTTCACCCTCAGAAACTGCTGAAGTTCTACTAAAACTGCGAGGGCCCAAGTAAGTTCATGTCGTTGACCGGCTCTAAAATTGTTTTGATCTACTGTTTGAGTTTTGAAATTTCTCATCGCCATTTCAAGTGAATGTAATACCAAGGTTTTTTTGTATTTTTATTTTCCTTCGATATTTAGGCAGTTTTCAGTTGGAGCCATATTTCGTTCTGTAGAGCTCGCCTCGGATGGGAGACCCATTTACGAGGCGTACTCTGAAACCTACAGGTAAGTAAATGTAGATTCCCGTACTCAGAGTCTACCTGAAACATTTAATGAACTCGAAAATCTACCGGCTGTCTCTGATTATGTGGGAAAATTAGCGGAAGCTTTTAAATCTGTTCCTCAAAGGTGTATATGCTACTTCTTACTTCGCAAGGCCTTTTGGAGTTTTATGAAATGAGGAATAACGAGGCCTTTGCACGGGAGGCTAATTTTTATGGATTTGAGTTTTTTTTCTTACTTTCGTAGGCCTGGCTTTTACGTTCAGCAGCTGACCAAAGTGCCCACGGGCACATATGATGTGATTCCTTCGACTTTTCACCCAGGACAAGAGGGGCCTTTCATATTGACGATATCAGCAAGCTGTAAAATGGCACTGGGAAAAAAGTAGACAGTCTTACAGTTCACTTTTCTTAGAGCGGTAAAATGAGCCTGCGGTCTTGTCACTGGTGAGAAAAGATTGGCTCTTCCTCACTCTCTCACTGGTATTGCTTTCTTTCCAGCGAGTTAAGTGTGGATTTGGAGAAAAGTAGGTTCAATGGATTTAGAGGAAAACTATTGGTTGAGAATCTGAAATAAGGACAGAATGCAACTAAAGGCTGAAAGCCGCCAAATAAGGAAATTCACAATTCCTAAAAAGTCAGATCTTGAAAAGTAAGAGAATTTTGATAGAAGGCGATAATGCCTAATACGAATGCACAGCTGTTGCAGTCGTTTTTTAATTCAATTGATAATTTGATAAAAATACTGAAAGCGGAAAATATGATAGTAAAATATTGAAATTTCTCGAAATGAATTTTGAAATTTCATACCTTTCTCAAGGATACAGATTGAAATCATCTTTAAAAAGATGATTAACTTAACTCTGTGAAGTCCTGGTATAGTTAATGCTTTTTATCTCTGTAGAAATGTGTGGAAGTAAATTGGTGAATAAACGCTTTATCTTACAGTGAACTTATCTGAGTAATACTGGTAGGTTTGAAAAGGACATCAAACTAAACATGTATTAGGGAGAAAGTATTCTGAGGTGACACTAACATATTGTTGCAGCCAATAACCTCGTATAAATATGCGCATCAACCTTTGCATCTTTTCTGCGAAACAGGATGTAGTATTCATTTTGAGTATACACCCAATTGCAAAAACGTGACACCTTAAAGCGTCAGTAATAAACGATGAGACCCAACGGCTTCATGGGTAGACATGTACACGATGATTAAAGATTATTCGCCGAAGGCAAAGTGAATATTGTTGAGTAATCCCCCACACGAAGTCGACGGAATTATTCAACAATATTCTCTGGGCCTGGGACGAATAATTGGTGTAGTATAATTGCTTTGGTGTTTTCAAATTCTGTTGTAAATTTGTTTTATTGTTGAAACCATTCTGTTACAATTGATATGATTAAATAGGCGGCAAGTCTCCACTAGAATTTACAGCAAAAACTTCATATCTTTCTTTTGAATAAGTGTTACGCCAAACTTAATAACATCTTTTGGATTCTTCGGAATTGAATTTTCTTCTATCGCGTTTGTCACTTCCTCGGTAACATTGACAAAACGCAGGGCAGATATTTTGAAATTTAGCGCTGCTGCTATAGTCACCTCGCGCGAGGTGACTATAACGAGATATGACGCAATCCTCGACCAATCGTGCGCATCTTCATAATCATCGGAGCAATCATACCAACAACAATTAGTTGCACATGGTAAATGATAGAAGCCATCCACACTTTCCCGAATGAAAAGAATTGTCATAGACAAATAACCATGAATAATGGATAAAAATAAGGCCGTTTTGCCATAACGCCGTTGTCTCATTGCTCGTGAATCATGCTTTTCAGGTGTCAACCTTTTTGCAACAGCATAAATTTCCAGTCTACTTATATCGATATATATATCGGTATAGCTGTAACAAAGCAGTATAAATATGATTTTGAACTCTTCCCTACGTGAGTGATGAAAATAACTGACGCGGTGAACTTTGTTTAATTGTTGTATTTTGGAGGCTATCTTTGATCTTTGATCTTTGCACACAGAACTGACAGGGAAATATGAAATTCTATTTCCTTTTTTCCTTTTAATTACTAAAAGAAATTGTACACATTAAAATGTCGCCGTTTCGTTAAATGTTACATGTGAATTATTTTTCTGTAACAATGTATGAAACATTTAACTAGACGACGCCATTAATAAAAATTCAATGTCTACATGATGTAAATATTAATTTTAAATGGATGGAATACGACCTGTTTAGCCATATTACACACTGAGCCCAAAAAAAGCATTTGAAGTTTAAGAGGTTATTATGTTTGTATTTCATTATGTTTCTTTACAAATATATTTGTGTAATCATGTTCTTAAGTTTGGGTAAAGTAAAGAGTAAAGAAAACCACCATTTGCAGAAAGCCAAGAGTTGAACCGTTCTCAGTGAAATAGCCATGGGTTTCTTCGAATAAATTATAACAAAATTAAACAAAAACAGAAAAGAAAGAAGTAGGCAGCAGGCTAGTTCCCCTCGTCCATTTATTGACTTATTTTGGTGTGCGTGGGAGTTCAACACATGAACAAATCCTTTTAAATATCGCCAGTTCAATTGATTTGAATTTGTTTGCTTGTAAACTTCTATACTTTGAATATAAAATTAGCGTGTGTGGAATTTTCCTTTCAAAATTTACCGACTCAGTGGCCAATTATCAATCAGTAGAAGTGATTAGAATTTGCAAGTGGCTTAGTAAACATATTGATTACCATTTCATTTTATTTCCTGTGAAAGTTGACATTTGTTCCTAGCACGCAAACAGTACATTTGATTTCTCGTCGTGGTCTCGTCTACTTTTCCATCAAGCGATGGCTTTTGAAATATAATTCACAAACTGGACCTATTTAAAGGTAAGTTTGTGAGATATTTATAATTTTCTATTCAGTTGTGATCAGTTTGGTATTCGTACCTGGATTTGATTTGTGAATGAGCGAGATGCCAGTTCGTCGCTGGAAAGAAGTTAGAAAAAAAGAATATTCCGCAAATGTAAAACGACAAAGTAAGTTTAAATCCAGGTTCCTTATCGTACAGTTTTTTATGGGTTTATTTGATATTCAATTATTTTGGAAAACCGATTGTGTGCAACGTTTTACGGAAGTCCGGCCTGAAAATTTGTGTCGCATTATAAAGCTGCCAAAATTTTATTTTAGGATGTGTTCGACACAACTGTTTAGATTGCCGCAACGATGAACTGAATTTTTGCATTAAGGTTTTATTAGTGCGATAAAATTCAATATATCTGGCGCTAATACCAATCGTCTCTTAAATTATTCTCGTAAAATTCTCTCAAAAACGATAATCGTACGTCCAATTCACTCGTTGAAAATAATCATTACTCAGATTAGCAGAGTTTACTGCTGGTTAAAAAATGAGCTAAAATTTGAAGTGCGCCCATGATTTGGGCACACATTGTGCATATGACGCGCTTAGTTCGAGGGTGATTAGCCGTCTTACATTTTAGTATTTGTAGACCCTTTGTGTAAACCTTGTTGGCCCAACTGGTATCAACATATATTGGAAGTGTATTTTTTTTCGCTCGTTTTCTAGAATCTGTCGGCTGCGAAATGAACACTGTAATACTCTTTGTTTGCATTTTACTGGCGGAACTCAATTTTGGTAAGTGAGTTATATGTTCGCTTAACTTCCAAATCCTAAGATTGGTCAACATGTATCCTCTCCTCATAATTTCCATTTATTGTCCAGCTAAAAAGTGAGGAGAATACAAAAACCTGAATGCTAAAGGGCGTCACCTTGTCAAAACACTAGCATTTCTCTGTGGTAAGGCCGGGTGATGAGTGCGAGGGGTCAACCGGTGGAATCGAATAGTGGGGAGGAGAGGGGAGGGTTGAGAATTAGTAGAGAGGTTAAGTATGACTTTTGCAGCAAACGGGAAACAGCCACTTGACATTGGCGTTTGCTGTCTTTACTTCGTGCACTTAAGAGCGTATTTCTACCGAGAAAAACGAGAATCGATAGACTGTCCCAAAAAACCTATTTTTTTTTTAGTCTTGCCGTAACACTCCCTTGGATGGATATATTTGAGAAAAAATAGTTAAAGGTTTCATCGACTTATGTTACGAAAGAAATTTTCAAAAAGTTTTAAAAACTCGACACGTGCGGTTTATATCTAATCAAAGCAGTATGCTGCTACTTAAATAAAAGACTTTGCTACTTCTTCAGATTTTCCCAATTTAACAGCCACCATGGCGGCACAGAACTTCTTTATTTTTTGAAACTTGGCAGAGCACTTTAAGAGAGAACAGTATGTTTTTTTCTGATAATTTATGGATAAATTCAATAAAAAAAGAAGGAATAGAGAAGCTTCTCCTCGAAGCACACGATTGCTTATGTTTTAACACAGCATAGAGAAGTACACTTTTTACTCGAGTTTTTTACACAAGTGAAACCTCCACCCTTCTCCTTGAAAACGGTGGGGAGCAAACGGCAAATGTCAAAAATGGCGGGAAAAAATTGGTCAGGTGGTCATCTCTGTCGTTTACCTTTTGCTGGAAACGTCATGGTTTACCTTTATAATAAATAAATCTTCCCTCAAATACCCGAGCGACCCCTCCTAAGAGAAGAGAGGGTGGACCTCATAGTTTCTTTTTTTTTTTGTCAAAACTCCTGTCCAGGGTTCCCGTGGGGTTTGATCAAGATTATAAAACTGTCGGCGTCACGATTATTTTTCTGCTGTTGTTTTGACTTTTACTTTTACTGTCGTTGCAAAACATTTGTGGTCAGTCACGTCTTCCTCAGGTCCGCTGGGAGGTATTACTTTTCAACTGTGAGGGCTTTAACACACAAAATACCAAAACTAATGCGACATAAAGAGGGAATGGTTTTCTTCCTCTCACGAGCGTGGGACATAGAAAACTTCGAAATCCCCGTGAGGAATCAAATCTCAGACCCCTAGATTTTGTGTTCCTTTGCTCTAACACTGAGCCATACAAAATCTCTTTGAGCTAGTGTAGGCCATTACAATGCATTTGATTGAAAGTCGCAAAACCAAAACCAAAGTAATCACATCAGCCAATCAGAGGGCAGGAAAATATCACAAGGAGCCAATGAGGCCGCAAAGTAAAAGAAACTGAATTGTCTGAAGCGCGAGAAAAGGCGAGTGGCCAAGTCACGATTGCTTTTTTGTTTTCAATCTGATTGGTTGAGAGGAAGGCGCGAGTTTCTGAACCAATCACGTAGCGAAGTAAAGCAAAATCAAGGCAGTCTGGGATTACTTTCGAGACTCAATTGAAAATCACTCTATTAGGATCATGTGTAAAACGTGTCACGCACACATTGTCTGGATCGGCAAAGTCGAAAGCCCCCTGTTGGTCAAAAAAATAAGATGGATGGTAAATATCAAGCTCGATAATGAATTGAAAAACTTAGGGATGTCTTTTCGTCTGTTTTCTTGACAGTTCTACACTTTTTCTAATACCGGTGTGTCACTTTTCCTTTTTCATAGCGTTTTTGTCATTATCGAAGGAGTGCCCTGAAAAATGTGGCATTGCCTATGACCCCGTATGCGCCAGTAATGGCAAAACGTACAAGAACATGTGTAGGTTAGAGCGGGAAAACTGCTTTGCCGAAACTAAGATTGTAGAGCTCTACAAAGGAGAATGTTTGAAAAGCGAAGAGGACGAAATAGAAGAGGACAGGAGGTGAGTGATAGATTACTTAATGAAAGTTTTGAATAACAAATGAAAAAAAAAAATGAGAACATTACCTGACATTAGGGATATGATAAAGGTGGTCAAAAGCCACAAAAAATTAAACTTTCTAAAAGACAGGTTGGAATAAGAAAACGTCTCAAATTGTCTTACTAACGATCGAAATACTTGAATAAAGACTGTGGTGCTGCGTCGGTGGGAGGTTTTAGTGTTAACAACTGGAATAGCCCTTCGTCAGAAAATCGCTCTCAAATTGTCTTACTAACGATCGAAATACTTGGTTTAGTATCGCGTACTTAATGATTGAGTGGGAGGGCCGGACGGGAAAATATTTGGCCGAGATCGTGACGTACGAACCGAGCACAAAGAAATTGAATATTTCGAAATGTTTGTTTTAAACGAAATAGCACGCAGTGACAATAGATGGGCGCACACGGGACAACCACAAAGAATGATTCTACAGTAAAAACATAAAAGTTTTTTTTTTTTTCTAGTCACAGCGTTATACTCACAATTCATCAAAAAATGCGGTTTTTTAAAATACGATCTTGGTTTTTGCTTTAAGTATTTGCAACAAATCCGTGTAAGTGTAATGCTGGGCAGGTTTTTCCGGACTGGCTCACGTCAATCCGTCCGGCCTTACACGACTCAAATTTCGCTATGGTTTTTTGTGGGACTACGCGCGCGGGGCCATATGGGACATATGATAAATTCTGTTACTTTCTTTACTAATTAAAAAATCTCTGTCGATATTTTTGTTTCGTTTGCCTTTAGATTACACACCATATAATGTAACAATGGTTATATTTCCTTCCAAAATTGATCTCCCGAAGAGGGTCTCGAAGGGACCAAATATGGAGAGTTTAAGTGCCTTATATATATATTCCATGCATGTCCAATGTTTAAGAAACACCTTCTGCAGAAAACATGATACCGTATTTTTGGCGCTCCAATATTTATCTAACTTGAACACAGCCTCTAGTCTGACCTCCCAGTCAGTGAATAACTTACATATTACTTGCTTCACGAGTTTTTTGCAGCCCTGCCAAAAAGCGTGCCATCGCGTTTTGAATGATTTTTTCACACTTCTGGTTGCAGATATACGTAATTCTCTAGTCATATCTCGATATAGTCTACTCAAATCCACGTCACTTGCAGCAACCGTGAGTATAAGGGATGAAATTTAGAGCAAGTGATATTAAGTTGCAGCGCAAAGTATTTCAGAAATAATTGCGTATACTTCGTGCAATATTGCTGATTAATCCGTGGAATTATTATCGAAAATTTTTCCAACTGAGTTAATTTCGAAAATACAGATAATGACTGTCTGAGTATTTTTTAATTACTTATGTCATTGCTTTGTTCAACAGGCCTTACGGCTGTTTGAGGGTTGGACGAGGTAAATATCTCACCTGCTGAATATCGAATCGGGTCATCAAAGACTTATATATAGCACTAACACCAACTCGCCGGTATGTCCCGATATATATCATTCTACTCTGAAGATATTACTAATGTGGACAAGTAATGACGCAATTTAAACCGGAGTTTGTGGAATTTGAGTTATAGTGGCAATGTAATATAATTTAATTGCGCATGCACCTGGCAGTGGTGAGGACAGACTGACTGACAGATAGGCTAACTCATAGACAGACAGACAAACAGACAGACAGGCGGACATGTATGTTAATACCATCACTTCCTTTGACCATGAAAAGCGCATTTCCCTATCTTGGCTTTAAGCTAATCAATTCTTCTCAGTGAAATAAAAGCTCGTAAAGAAAGCCACACTTAAAGAAGGACTGTGTATGATACATATGAATAACGATTTGTTGTGAATTCTAAGAGGATATCATGCAAATGAAAGCCACTTCTCCTGGAATTACTTTTACATTTTCCTTTTTCAGTTCTATTTAATTCGTCTCAAAAATGACGCAGATCTAAATTCCATGGTCTAGAAAACAAAGATGGCAATTTCACTTCAATCTAAGAAAGAACTTGCTTTCCTTCAGAAATTGCAATATGGACACACAAATTTGTTCTGAATCATACACTGAGCCATTTCAAAGATATTGCACATACTGTCCAGTTTCGTGAGGTCTGCACCTGACATTTCGTGGGAAGTCCGCCTAATGTTTCGTGACAAATCAAAAGTGCTTTGGTAGGGGTTGCGTTTGCAAACTCACGTTTTTCCATCGTTGCGTTTTCAAGGAAAAACTATATTGTTCTTCGGTCCTAAGGTCTTGCGTCTTTTACCTGATTTAGAAAGGTTTGTGGTTTTTCTTGAATTACGTAAAAAAAGGCATTTTCCTATAATTTTCCCCCATAGTCCGTTTGCGTGAGGCTCCATTAATTTACGCGCACGAAATGTGGGCGATTTTACTTAATTTTCTATGTTCTAAGTCCTCGAAAAAACTTCATGGATGACATCAATTTCGAGTGTTGGAGAATAAAATAGAAATTCATGTGGGAAAATTCAAATCAAATTCACAGTTCTTGTAGGCATAAATTGACGCTTAGGAATTCGAGAAATTTAGAAAATGAAGAAGTTTTTTATCGCAAAAATCTGACACGAGTAAACGCTTATCGAGGATCTCAGTGAACCAGAATTATCATCATTTTGCAAAATATTTTGTGAATAAATTTTACTTCTTTGTCTTCGACAAGATTTTAGCTTTATACCCTAGACAATTAGAACGGAAGTCGACGATTTACATTAAGGGTGTGTCTTTATCATTGCACGTGCCTGATGCCCTCATGGCGTGACACAGTTGCAAATGTTCGTAAAATCTTGTAACGAACTGTTTTAAAACTAACAAAAAGTTTACAAACTTTTCGGTGCCCTTTGCCTGTGTGCGTGAAAATATGTAGAACGTCTGTGAGCGGTCTAAAAAAGACATTGTCCGAAATCAATCTTTGAAATTAGTATGTAAATGACAAAAGGTTTATTTTTTCATGAGAGATTTCTCTTTAGAACACACCGTACATGTCACGGTCAAGCAAACTACTTCGATTTTTAAATTTGCCTGAGCTGAATTCAAATGAGTCTTCTACTTGATTTATCCGAAATGGCAATTTCTAGTCAAACGAAACAAGAGAGAGAAGAGACAGATAAAATGTGAACTATGCGAGATTCAATTGAAGCGTAGTGATATTCGCTTATTGTATGATACCGGAAAAAGTTTTTAGTACAGATCAAATGTTTATATTCGTTTTAACTGCAGTCGTACCGACAATCGGTTTCGTCTTTTGTCGGTTTTGTTATCAGCATTTGACGGACACACCATGAATTCCTAGCCACAATTCTTGAACGATATTTTTCGTTTTAAGGAAACCGCGATTTCCATAGGAAGGATTAAAGTACGTATAAATTACTTAGCCTAGGTGTAGGTGAGAAACGGAACTATGCCTATATATTACAATGTTTTAGAGCTGAAATTATACTACAAGAATGAAACCCATTTATGGGTTGGCTTAAGCGAAGCTGAAAATTTTTCGTAAACGAGCACGTCAGAGTTATTAATCATTTTGAGGGGCTGTTCGGTGTTTTATTGCAATGGGCTTTATTATGTGCATATTTTTCGACAACGAAGTGAATCGTCAGAAATTGCGCGCAAGACTTAAGACGCCTTTAGCTCGTGAAGAACAAAAGCAGCTTGTTCCGCTCTGGATGAGTTCAAGAGACACAAGTCTATTCTTGCCTAGAACGCGCGCGGAAATCCAGCAATGATGTGAATTCAAAGCTCGTTTTTACGTGCAGTGAATTCATTCCCAGTTCAAGGAAATTTCTCATCAGGCAGAATGAACCCTTGTCGCGTTTCGCGCCGAGGAAGAAACAAAAACTCACGCAAAAACCGCGACAGTGGGCGATTAATTTTAAGAGCTTTAAGGACTTCGTTTAACAAGAATTTTTGTCGTTCACTTAGTTGTAATTGCTAATTGCGCGTTTAATCTCTGACAACCAATATTCCTTTTCAGGAAGCTAGAACTCCTAATATCATCTCGGCTCAAACGCCGTAAATACTTCTTACTATGTAAGGGATCCCAAACAAGATATTTCCGAATCTTGCTGACGTGAGAAAAGCCAAATGGGTTTGTGTATTAAGAGGCGGGATCAGTGCAATTTGTAGCAAATGTGTACAAAATACTTGAATATTTGTTTGCATGTAAATACCTCCAAACCTCAAAAACTAACTGTGCTCAATTGACTCGTGGGCGCATTCCATTCAAAACCAGTGACCCTTTACATCTGATTTGATATTGTCAGAGAAAATACGAAGCTCTTGTCTACTTTTAGCAACCTAATCGTGCAACGTAAAACCAACACTCGCTCGCCTTCAAAACCGGTTAAGTTATTGTGAAGCGACAAAACACTGCGATTGATATGTTCAAGGAAATTTCCCAAGGGACTGCTAGTTTTTGTTCATTTTGTATAAACTTGAGATCGGTTGGGATAAAGAGCTGGCGCTTTCTAGCAGAAATGCGTGGGAAGTGAAGCAGGAGTGTACGGCGGGTGTTTACATTTCGACATCTCTTTGTGTTTTTGGGTGGTTTTTCCTTGGCAGAAAGTTAAAAAATCTAAGATCACCACGGACATTCCATATCCATTACAACATGGCGGAAAATTTCCATGATCGTTGAACATTACGTCACCCTCTGTCTTTTGTTACATCGGGTTGCTCCGGAAACCCTCAAAAAAATATAAGGGGCATTGAAGCAGTTTAGAATATTATTAATAACCACATCTCAACACGTGAAGAGCGATTCCGTGGGCAGCTGAAAGCGGTGGAAAATCGTTTAGCAGTTTGAACAAACTACGTCGATTGCCTCTCTAAAATCCAACTTATCATCAGTTCTGACGAAGACTTAAAAGATTTTGAATGGATCTATTACAGGTAAGAATTTATAGATTTTTCCGAGAGCGTAGATTTTAGCGATCAACTTCTCTCAAAGACGTGTAGGTCAAGAAGACTTAATTTTATATCAATTTGCTTATTTTATTTTTTGTTTTCAAATCAATGTGTTTCAGCGCTTATATCTGTTTGCAGCGATAAAAACTACGCAGATTTGAGGAGATTTTGTTGAGTTGACAAATTTTCACTTAAGTTGAGAATCAGCAACTTTTCGCTGAAAACTGAAAGTGATAACACTTCGCTCAGTGTTTAAGTAGGGTTGTTATTTGTGGTATACAAGCAATATTAGATTCATAAGACACACTCTGACTGAAGGGGTTCTGGTTTGGGGGCATGGCAATATTTCATGTCGAAGAATACTACAAGTGATTTTCTCGTCTGACCTAATAAGGTTGGAGTTGTTGAGTAAAAGTCTGGGATTTCCCTTACTAGTGTTCAAGCCAATTAAAACGCTTTGTCTTGTCTTCCTTAAAATTGCTCCGATGGCTATTTTTGGATTCGGTTGTGATGTAAGGGAGCACTGAGCTGTAAAAAATAACAGGAATGAATCTGGAATAAGTTAAACAGGAAATTTTATGGGCGCATCAAGTGAAAAGTGAAAATAGTTCATAGCTATTTTTGCCTAGAAGAATCTGGAAACTTTCTGATTAAAGGCAGAATTTATCCACTTAACTTTTCTAATCGCAATATCAAAGTAGGGTTCCTATCTACTCACCTTATCTTACTTCTTGATTTTAATTTTGAGAATCTTCTGATAGCGCAGCGAAACGATCTGGTGGCTGCTGAAGGGGAAAATGATACAAGAATAGATTGCTACAAAAAAAGCTTACCTGAGTTGTGATCCGTAAAATGTTTCAAGTAGTTGTCTTTATTTTGTTTTATTGTTTGGAAGATTAGCTCGAAAAATATTGCCAGTGAGACAAGGGGAGAAATCACGAAACGTCGCTCGAGGCAGTGTATATTAACGCGGCACTAAAGATAATTGGGACTTTTTTTCAACTAAATATCCTTGATGTTTCAGGCTATTTTTGTCCTGTTTGCTTTCTGCTTGTTGAGTATCACACAAGCTCTTCCCTTGCAAAAAGGATTCGAAGGAATTAGTCTACGACGGGAAAGGAGAGCTTTGAGGCCGTTCCCAATGTGCAATCAAACCGCAATTCCATCCGGACATACATCTGTTTCAGACGTGTCTTTTTGGTACAAAAATGGCTGGTTCTTAGCTGTTTACAAAGATGGTAATATAAACGGGACTTCAGATGCGCGCAGCCGCGACAGTAAGTACAGATACAGACCTTTGTATTAGCGATAATTGAATATTGCTTTGTCAGTAGTTTTGTATGTCTCTCTTTCGAGTTGCATAACAATATTCCAAAGTTAGTAAGATATTTATGATTCAAGTATGTCTTTTGTGAATGTTAATACGCTGTGGCTGGACAATTAGCCTCCAAAGATAATCGAAAAGCAATACAGTCCAAAGACCCGTGCCGAAATGTTTTCAATTTTACTTAAATTAGTTTCATTTTTCTTCCTAGCTAGCTCTCCAATGAAAGAAAACCAGCTGAATTGTTTATTTGCTACTTAACACGCCCATTACTTATTTTTGCAGTTGAGCTCCAACTTCAGTCTGTTGGAAGCAGCTTGGTTCGGGTCTTTAGCAAGCAAACTTGTCTGTATGTCGCTATGCAGTCATCGGGAAAAGTTTACACAACGGTGAGTTAACACGACTATTTACGATTCATTTGTCTCACTTGGAAAAAAGGATAAACTGTGTCACATTGAAATAAGTTACACGCTTACAACTGGACACTTTCCTTCGGCCGTCAAGTGATTTTCTGGCAAAATTTTATAAGAAATTAAGGTGTTCTTTTGCTGGATGCGACAGTTATCGGGCACTTGAAATCAGACTTAGGGGATAGTGTTTTAAGTGGCAACAATGCTTAAGTGAAAAAGTCGATTGTTTTGAAGGAGTGACTAAATTAGCCCAGTCCAAGGTCTCTCTGTTATTGCCACCTCTAATACGTGGAAGCATTTCTAATGATGTGTGATCATACACCACTTTGTTACAAGAATATTAAATCGAATGTTCACCGACAAAGCGAAGAATATGGCTTCTTTACGTCTTTGCTTTTCAAATGCACCTTCATAAAAATTTTCAGTAAGCTATATCTTTCCTAGTTGTCTCGGTCTACTGGATTTGTGCATTTCGCGGCCAAAGATTTTTGATCGTCCTGTGATTTATTTTATTCAGCAATTCGTGTGTATGTGACGGTATTCTTTCTCGGGCGAATATTTGCTTTGGAGATTTGACAGTTCCCACGTTTAATATTCTCCTGCGGTCATCAAAAGAACAATCGATCTGGCTTGATTGAAATAAGTGTTCAGTGCAGCGAGACCTAAAATTAATGAAAACTCGTGTCAAAACAAAATTAATAGACCTTGCGCAATTTTCACCAAGCCGCATTACAAATTACTGCTTAAAATCTAAGTTATATTAATACACAGCAATTCCTTTAAGTGAACTTCGAAGTGAAGGCTCAAGAGTTATTTGGTTGCTGTTTACCAATATCTTCATTCCTAATAAAGTGTTGTTTGTTTATATCTACAGAAGGAACCCACAAGGGAAACGGTATTTCGACAAACGCATGAAGCAAATGGCTTCCAAACGTTTGCCTCTCACCATCACTTCCATGCGAATGATAAGACAAGAAAATACCTGTTTTTGTCCATGAGAAAGAACGGTCATATGAAAAATGGCAAAAGGACTACGAGACACAACAAGACTACGCTTATTTCAGTGATTGAAAGCAGGGAAATAAGCTAAATACTGCTGACAGTCAAAATATCTTCAAAATATTTATTTCGTCTGAAAGCAGGTCTTCAGAACGAGTACCATGTGAAGATTTATGTTGAAAATTTAAATATTTAGATATTTATTTTTTATGAAAGTAAGTAAGATAAGCTATCTATTTATATATTGTCGCAACAGCGAATTTAAGAATTAAATGAGAAAAAGAGGTTATTTATAAATAAAGTTGTTCGATCATAGAGTACCGCTTGGCGAATATTGTGGCCTTTAGTGGCTCGGCGTAACTGTTAAACAGTTCGGGTTCTTTACGAATAACGAGTTCTTTCCAACAAACATGTTATGGTTGTCATTCTATAAATCCCTAGATCTCTTTGATACAACATAAAAATAAAACGTTTCGAGGTAAAACTGATCATATTTTCCTGCCTCAGGGACTTTTTAAAAATTCCAGAGAAAAAAATCAAAGGTAGTTATGAACAAGGATTGTTTGCAAGGAAAGATCCTGGTTACCTTCTTTGAAATTCGACTTACTTTTTCATTCCCCCTAACTTGTTGAAAACGTGGATGGTATATATATATGATTCTTCTGACGATCACTGTAGCATGATAATTCACCACAGCTCGGAGAGTGCCCGTCATAACCCCATCTGTCTGTTCTTCACTATTTAAGACCCTCTCATTAAACAGTATTCCAGAATGGAAGCAATATCCTTGATTCCCAGGGAATGGCACGGTGACTACAAAAAACTCCAGCACAAACTTCAAGCTCTTATGTTTTTGTAACAGATTAAATGGAAATTCTTTAATTTCTCCTTATCTTGTCCAACGTAACGCTAATAGCTCTATTTGGGTTACAATAAAGTTTTGTAAATTTCAGATAAAAATCCATAACAGCCTAATAAATGTTTATAGAATTAATATTGTTATATATATCTTTGTAATGCTAGTTAGGATTTTCCAATGGAAATAAACTTAGTGTATGAAAGCTGAAACATGTTGTTATACACTTACTGAGTATTTTAACGATTTGAAAAGGGCACTTCTGGCCGGCAATGAATGCCCAGGTACCTAAATAATCGATAACTTCGATTTTCCTGACTCTTATCAATGTCTTAAGGGACCTTAATGACATACTGTGTCAGCGACGGAAGCAAAAACGTGATGACGTCAGCATAATGTCCTTCTAAAAGGTTTTTTTTTTTCGTTGTTATAAATTGAAACTCTTATGCTCTCTTCCTTTATATAATTTTATGATCTTAATCCGACGACTTTTTTTCACTCCCAATGTGAAACTTAAATACGCGCAAAATGCAGATAACCACTTGATGTCAAAAATAAAAACATTAATCTTCTGCTCATACAAACAATGTACGAGTGCAAACTATTCACGGCCAGTTTTTGTTCTTCATAAACAAAACTAAGAATAAAAGCTTAGTTGCATTAACATGCAGGAAAATGTTTATTTACCGCTTACAGAAAATTCTTAGTACGATTTTGCCTCCAGTCTACTGACGAGATACAAGTGAAAACTTTCTTTCATTAACGCTCTGCTTTGCTCAACCAATTAACGTTTTGAATGAACGTTTTGCATACAAGAAAATTTAACAAGAAGGAAACTTAGTTTGGTACTGAAGTAGCTGTGTTTAGAAATTTCTACACTGATGGGATGCACGCGGAAATTCACAAAGCAAGTTCGTGGATGTAGTCAGTTACGATGTGGATGGTGCCGTTTCGACTGCACCCCCAACAGTCTTCCTCAGGTCATGAACACGAAACGGTCATCGTAATTGTGCTCACCAAGATCCAAAACCACAAATCTTTCAAGATATAAGTGCCCAGATTTATGCAAAAGAATCGCGTGAGATTTAGCATGAGTAAAAAAAGCAAATCTCGAAGAGGAACTCGTTAACTTGAACAAGTGTCTCTTAAAGAAAGACATTAAAGAATGCTCTGTCATGTTCGCCTTAAGTAAAGAATGAAGAAAGTGTTTAAAATCCATTAGACGCGGAAGAGGTACTCTTAAACTATTTAGTTTAGCACTCTTCTCACTCATTAGGACACAAGCATTAGTTTAATGGTGAAGTAAAAGGAATTTTTTATCAGCTGTGATGATGATAGTAAAATGCAATGATATGAATATGAGGTAACTATTACCCATTAAAAATTTGGACATTCAATACAAATGTGAACCTGTTTTCATAAGTTGAACGTGTAAATTACATTCTGCGCCTGTAGGGTGCTACATGCTCATTGCGATGAAAAAATGAAATGAAGAAATGCTGTTTAAAAAAGTAAAGATTGAACCGTTTTGTTTAGAAACACTTGGACGCTACGGGAGGCACTAGCTTTGAGTGGTTTTCTTAGGAATATCGTTATATGTAAACTTTTCATAATTGCTATACTAAAAAATCTGGGTAATGGCACGCAAGCGCCAGAAAAAATTACGTGCATGTAATCACATTAGGTTTTGCTTTGTATCTTTCTAGCGCGATAGAAAACACACTTATTGAACTGTTCAACTTTTGCAATATTTTGTTAAAATATCCTCAAAGTAGGTTCTGTTAACTTAGTAAAACCTAAGAGAAGTTACGTGATGAGTTAAGATAACATGCAAACGAAATTGAGAATTGATAGGTAGATTGTAATTAGTGAATCTGAGTGTCTTAAATTTCGTCAGCATCATCGTCATTATCATAAGAGCTAGGCAATGTTAATGGATGGAAAACAAAGCACACTTAGGCTTCGGTTTATTCATTGCAAATTTCTGATATTGTTCCAGTTTAAACGTTAAAACCCAGACGATATATGTTAAAACATATTTCTCCGAGCTAGCTTTCGTATCCTCACGAAGTCTAAGATCAATTCGGAGTCGAAACAAGGCGCACAGAGTGTTATGGGCATTCGAAAAGGCTGAAGCAGTCTCACATTCTGTCCGTGAAGTACTGCGTTCCCTTTTTTCCCGCTCTTTCTTAGACAACACGTACTAGTAGAAAAAGAAGAGCGACGGAAGGCTTATGACTTCTTGCTATCAAATTACGTTTTTCAGCTTTTCAAGTCATAAATATTTGGAGTTTCTCAGATAAATTTCAGATTACGACAGCTTGAAGACTTAAGCGAGACAAACTGCGTCTTCTTGGTGAGTATTTCAACAGAGTATAGCCAATAAATTTTTGCCTAAAAGTTAATTCATTTCGAAAATTGATTGCGAGAAATAGTTCGCTGAAAGCGAACGCTTGGAACTTCTTTGGATGAAATACTAGAGGTCAGTCCAAGTTTTGCTCAGACTTATAGCTTGTAGTTGTTATACAGCCAAACCTTATACCAAAAGAGTTAATCAAAACTGAGATTGAAAAACATTTTTTAACTTAAAATTTGCAAAAGCTACTTGTGCCTGAAAATTATTTAAATCCCTAGCCCAGAAAATCATACGTATCGAAAGTAAATTCACCCGATGAGGCACGACTCTTTGGCTTCAGCAAATTCTATGCCAATGCAATTCCTAACCTTTTTTTTTTAGGCTGAAAATGGATCAAGTTTGTTAGCGGTGTTAAATGTAATTTCTAGAAATGCTGTCAGTACTGAAGCCTATATCAATGTGGTCTGTTCGGGGCAGTCAGTATTTGGCGACGAGTGTAAAGTTTGGTGGGGGCTAATTTCTCTAAATATCTCTCAAGATCTCTCAATGACGACAACTAGATACCATTTATTTTCAAGCATTTGTTAAGTTCACAATATGATAAGGTTTATTTTCAAATGAGAGGAACTCTAAAATTAGTAAATAATTCATTAAATTTTTCTTTTTCTGCAATTTCGCTGTGAACACATCTTAGCTCCTCACTCATAAATTCAAACTGGATTTGAAATAAGTATTCTTGTTTTCTCTTTGTTCGTCTTAACTTGAATATGGTTTTCTTAGATAACAATAAATAACTGAGTGTAAAATCGTCATTTCACTCAGTATTAATGTCAGCAAGTATTTATCTCATTTTGCCTCAGGAGACTCCGTGGAGTTTTTTTGTGTGTCATGTAGAACTGTAGGCTGTTTGTTTATGTCTTGGAATTTCCATAATAACTATTATTCAACATTTGTTTTAAATAAGTGCCAAGATGTACAGGGTATCAATGGTTCAGATGATCAGGAACTGAGAACCTTTATGAAGTGAACAAGCCTTGTTTCCTTTCCTTGGAAGACCATCCTTCCTCAAGGCTATGTACATGTCATGAGCTGTTTCTCTGTAGTACTTGTGCGAGGAGAACGTGTGAAAACCGTTGATTCCTTGAACGTGTTTGAAAATTGTGCTGTCTGTCTTGCTTTTCTGTGAGTAAAGAAACTTGTATAAGTGCAAATCCCTATTTTATTGGACAGGGATAGTGTTTTCGTTGACAAAGCTGGATTGGAATAGCCCAATTTTGATATTTTAAAACTTCAGATTTTAATGATAGACACCATGGCAAGGCTTTGAAGAATAAAACCCCAAACTTTATAATAATTCCTCGAAGCCTTATTTAATTAAAATTGAAACTGGGCTTCTCAACAGCAAAAAAACTAACCGAGGCGTCATGCAAGAAAGTCTGTCTAATTATTAGCTTTGCATTACGACCAAATTTTGGCCTTTGGACTTCTGGATCCGTTTCCAAACCCCTCCCTCTAAAAATGCAAAGGACTCCCCCCTCCCATCCTATGTTCAATCCCAAAACTAAAAAATATGGGAATAAAACCTGATATGTTGATATGAATATATATATATATATATATATATATATATATACACATATATATATATATATATATATACATATATACACACACATATATATATATATATATATATTTATAATATATATATTTATAATATATCTAACCCTATATTTACTTACTCTGACTTTATCTATTTCAATCCCTATAACTAACATCGGCTAAATTATACCAGTCATCGTCTCACTTGTTTTCTATTATTGTTTTTTCTCGCAGAGGGATCATTTGAAGCGTTACAATAATAGTGTATGGCATAGTATACAAAATTAGGGTCGACGTTGAAAAATTTGAAGAAAATCTTACTCAGTTCTGTTTATGTGATGTGCTTAGATTGATCTCAATTCTAATTCAAGAGCTTTCTTCATTTAACATTCCGTCGTGTGTTACCAGAAGCGAAACAGAGGAAGGAAAATAACACGAAATTGAATAATTTAAATATTTTGAACATGTTTTGAGCCTGAATAAGGTCATATTGGTCCAGTAACAAACTAAAATAGTCATTCGATAAAAATAGGGCTCAGATGCCATGAAAAGAAATTCGTTTGGTTTATTCATCAAAATGGCATCCATTCTAACAAAGTTGTTTCCTTTTTATTGAAGCAGTAGAAAGACTTTATAAACTATCTATTTCAATGATATGATATGATTCGGCAAGCCGTATCAGTTTCAATTCTGAACAGAATAAAACATAAGTTAAACATAGCAAATAAACATAGTACGAAAATTGCAAACTGACGTTAATTATCGTTAAGTTACTCTTGGAATAGCAATTTAATTTATATCTCATTTCATTTAAATACATTTAATTGTAAAATTGGTGAAATATTTTCAAAGGAATTTGACACGGAATTCGCTGAAATCTAAGGATTTTTCGAGAATTTAATTGTGACTTCTACGTGAAACTTGATGTTATGAAAGACGGACAGGATTTGAAACTCGCGTCAAACTCAAATGCACATCATTGCCTGAAAGTATGTAATGCATTTGGTTGCTTTCGGATTGAGTCATTTTGAAAAGGCGACTCTCCGACCGCGCAAGATAATATATTTTTGGCAGGTCATAAGTGTACCATGTTATTCTGTTTTTTTTGCGCTATAAAATTTACAGTAATCATCTGAAGCAGTTCGAGTCCTTGACCCTGACGTATTTTGTCAGTTATATTGGAAAATTACTTGCATGAGCACACAGGTCTCGCTTGTCAGTTCGGTTAACTTTAGTTAATATATTGTTCGCTATAAATATATACATATGCTTGATGTCAAAAACAAAATCATGATATAAAGTTCATTAAGTTGAAAGAAGAGTTAATATCGCGGCTTTTGTCTACCGGCATACCAATATTAATCATCATGAAGGAAAATGTGATAATTTACATATCATTAAGGTTTTATTCGACCACAAAAACTTGCTCTGCAAAGTAACTATTTAAAAATGATTTTTGATTATCATTTCACGACGTCGCTTTTTAGTGACGGTGAGCATCATCGCAGCAGTTAAGAATTATATTTTCTTAGTTATTACTTAAAATGGTCACAGTGAGAAAATGATTTAAACATTTTTTTTTTGTCAAGTCATAATCGAAAATCAAATATCGTAGAGCTCTAAAATAGGTGTAATATGCTGTTTGTGAACTTAGGCAATATCTAAACAGAAAAATGTCCAGTTAATCTTCTCCAGAAAGTCAACTCCCAGTGCGTCTCGTGTCTTACTGCGCTGAGTCCCACTCGATTCAGTGATGTTACGTGCAGTTTCAGTAGCCAGAAATTGTACCCAACATAGGAGAAATTTGGCAATTTTTCTGTTGATATTAAATGATCCTTGTGCATTTAATATGAAAAGATAATGAAACATAATAACCATGCCATACTCAATCCAGTGTTAGACGAGTCAAACGCCATATTCCTCTGCTTTTTTAAGATTTTAGACAGTTACATATTTGGTTTTAAAGAAGGAATTGTCATTATTTTCGTCTTCCTTCATTATTACTTTCCACCTTATTTAGGTCCTTAGTTGTTTAAGTCGAAAGAAGCAGTAGGAAAGAAAAAGACACGTGGATGTCAGATCTCAGATGTGCATTCCTAAAGGTTATAGATGAATTGTTTATCTGAGTTTGCTGTGACGGTGACAAAATACTTCAATCACCAAAATTATTCAGCAAAAACCAACATTAGACCAAAGCTATCTCCTAGGAGAGGAAACTTGGACAACTTCAGCCATCTTATTTCTGAATTTTATTCCATCACGTTTCACAACAACAAACAATCAACCGAGAATTAACGAAATGCCTCAACCGAAGAGTCGAGGACATTCTAAAATGCTAAATGATTATACTGATATCATATGAGTTAAAAGGTTATTTTATGGAAAAAATTGTAGAATCTATCTATTGTGCAAGTAACGGAATCCGATAAGTTGTTATTTAAGGATCACATCGCGCTAATTTCCAACCCAACGATCGCTCATAAACTGATACTTGGGTTTCTTTAAGATTAAAAACTACTTCCCTCTCTAAAATGGTCCTGTTGTGTGCTGTAAAAGTATATTTGCTTTGTCAGGAGAATTTCTATAGCGATTAGAGAGGGTCATTGACCGATTGGTACCAAGTAGTCATCTTGTAACGTTGATATACCCCGATAGAAATTGTGACTTTTTCAAGTCAACGCTGTTAATCAGCAATATCGAAATTTTCTTTGGAACAATCATCGACAGTCATTAAAATTATTATATGAAGAAACTTCATCTTTGGTCTTTTATAATTATGGTAAAGATCAGGTATTCGAAGAAGAGGTGCATTGTTTTCTTTTTCTTTCGGAGCCTGGCATACAGCAATCAGACCAGTAAAAAAATATGGCCTTAGTTCAATAATTCCTGATACTCTGTTTCTTGTCAGGGCTGGCCTGTAATGGGCTGTGCTATGTAGTCAGTTTGTGGTAGAGTTCGTGCGGCACTATTGTACATTCGTCAAAGTATACGTGCAAGTTTAAAATGTACACGGCTGTCAATGAGATTTGTTCCATACAAATGTATTGGGGGACCTTAATGTCTGCACGCAATTAATTTGACCAAGTCGTGGCATAAACATCATAAAATTGTCTCCAAGAAGTAAGTAGTTACTGGGAAAGTTGAACAGCCTCCAGTGAAAACGCTTAGTAGGAGGTACAAGGTCTGATACTTCTACCAAAATTCAGTAATGAGTTGGAGAATGGTTACTAAATTGAAAAATGTATTAAGCTTACCATTGAAAACAGTCGTCCATTGCTATCCATTGCCAGATATCGTCCTACAGCAGGGCTGTAAATCTGAATCAATCCTTTCCCAATCGACTGCAACTGCAGATTGACTGTAAACGATGAAAGAATATAAATTACAAGACTCATTCAACAGTTAGCACATATAACAAAGGGTTTGCGAAAACGCAGTCGTGTATCTTTAATTTAGGCTGGTATCAAGGCAGAAGCGGCTGTGGTACATATTAGGTGTATATTTGAACACACGGCGCTTTCGAGTTAAATGAAATCACAGCTCAACCAAACGAAATTGAGCTGCCTAAGAAGCTTTCAAAGCTATGCAGTGTTTCCTAGTCAGCAACATTAAACATATTGCCTTGGATTTCTTCAGTCGAGATGTTCAAGTTAGGGGCATATCTTCTCCCTAACGAAGTTAAATCCCTAACGAAGCAGTACCTATAATATTATTGGAACTCTCTGGTTCCGGCCTATAGCTTTAAATCGTTCAATTTGAAACAGTGCATCGCATATTAACGTAAAATTCCCGCAAATTTTGAGTTCTTTTGCTAAACGAAGTTCGACTTCTACCAGCTGATTCAGTGATCAAAAGTAGTCAGTCAAGAAGTGTCAGGTTTCGGACTTGAGGAAAGCGGGCCGCCGCCATCTTTATTTTGTGAGCAGTACAGTTAGACGCTTTTGTAACGGTATTAACACTAAATTTCTCCTTTCTAGCGGTGGCATTTTCATTATCTACATTTACTTCATCTGAAGTCAGAAAATTTTCTCCTTAGTTACTAAAATTTTTGTGGCTTCATTATTGTCAGACGAAATGCACTGGAATCGTCACGTAAGGCTTCATAACAACTCAGTAGGTAAACCTTCAATCATTTACCTGCTTTAGACAGAAGATGCTTCGAAACAAATGTAGCTGTGGAGCAGCGTGATTAACTTTTCCTTCGAAATATTCATGTAAGATGCAACAAATTCTTCAGAATACTGGGCTAGAATATATACTTCTGGAACTTTCTAATTTGCGTGAATTTTAAGTTTTATTGTGGCAACTGACTTTCATAAACACAAAAAGCCTTTGTTCTCTGAAAACCTAACGAACCATTTTTAAAATGAATTGGACTTTCTCTAAGTAACGCCTTTCCAACTTCCGCTGATTCACTATGTCTAAGCTCAAAATGTATCCATTCGACTGATTGTCTGCTAAAGATCGCTCGACAACAAATAACATCGCACTGATGCCCATAAGTTAAGCTGAAATGATATTAAACTATTTGAGGCTCGGACATTATTTATTACGATTTGATGGCGACTAGCTACTATAAAAAAGTAAAGAATAAAGACAAATAATAAAATAAAACAGGCCATATGAAAGATCTGTAAAGGAGTCCTTGACCCCTTTCAGAAACAGACCACCAAAAAGGCAATTAAGTGAAATTAATAACATTAACACACCTCCTCATTCCCACACTTAAATAAGACTATAACAATAGAAATTTTCTGACTTTCTACCTAAATGTTCTTTTATTAGTTTCAAAGCGAGATTCCATAAGTTGTTCATTCCATCTATTTACAATTCTATCAATGAATATTTTAGTACGTTAGTTTTAGCGTATTTCTTTTTCAGAGTTAAGTTATCGCTATGCCTAAGGGGTAACGGTCATGTACTGAATTAAAATCAATATAAGGTTGAATATCACCATTAATCATGCCATTCAGCGCTTCGTAAAGGAAAGTGTCATCAACTAAAACTCTTCTTTGTTCAAGTGATAGTGAGCACAGTTTCTTTAATCAGGTTTCATACTTTAAGATGAAGTTAGTCTCTTTTCAATGCTTTTTCAACTTTTTCCATGTATTCACGTTGCGGTGATTAAACAAGTTCGTTTTCTCTGTGATAGATTTTGAATAACTCTCAATCAAATGAACAGTGATTAATAAGGGATACAATGAAACTCGTACCTAATGGCTATCAATTCTTTGGTTTTCTAACTCAGAGACCGACTGGGTACGAGTCTGCAGTAAAGTAGCATTGCACGTGCGATATCAAACTCGTTCTCAAGCTTTTTACTAAGGAAGACAGACATCTCCACAAAACGAGTAAGCGAAATAGCCGAATTCTACTTCTCTGGAAAACGCTTGCCCGGACTGAGAGCAAATTTTACATTTTTCTGCGATAACAAATTTTCATGATAGCTTTCAGAAGAAGTAAGAGATTCAACTTTGATGAAAGCTTGACTGAGTGTGTACTGCATGTACTCGAATTTGAGGTTCCGAAATATAAGTGGAAAATTGTCTAAAAGGGGCGTCGGTCTCAATGCGTAATACGTGTGCATTCCTTAGGGAATGTTGGCGAGCTATTTTCATTCGAATAACAACCATGAGTATTTTGGTCAAAGGTTCCTCGTCTTCCCTCCTGGCCTCTTTTAGAGAAATATCCTCTTTCACTTTTTTTGTGATGATCTGAGGAAGTTGATGAACTCAAAGCGGACATAGGAAGATTAGTTGAGGGTTTTTTTAAACAGGAAACTGTAACGGAAAATACGTGAGTATGAATAACTTAGCTGTATATAGGAGTTCTCTTATTCAGGAATTTGAAATATGATTTCTTGTTAATCTTTCCAGTTTCCTTTCATCTTAAAAAGCCAAGGAATCATTTTGAATCTCCATTAACAAGATTGTTTTTTTCTGTTAAATTTTCTACTGAAATGATATTCTAGATGGTCTTTATAATAACTAGACAATAGTTGACGCTCATGTTGTCTACTAGAGCATACATTTATTAATTTGTGGCTTCCCGAACAGACACAGAATAAGTCCTCTCTGAAGCAGATATTTCATTTTTCATTTTTCAATGCTTGCTTGATAATAAACACAGTCGCCTTGAGGTGTCATAATAATGATCCAACAATTTAGATTCTGATATTCAGTCCATATCTCTTCTTTTGAAGCGTCAAATTACTGAATCAATCATTTTCATCCGCCACACAAGCTTGAAATAATTACAACTTTGTGTGTATAGCTTATGCTCGGCATTAAGAAATAAAAATCTTGATACGATGATTGTTTTCCATTCTTTGATTCATAATGGAAAGTCTTTCATTTTTTTCTCTCCGTTGTATCGAAGATTTGATATGACACATTTGTTCGGTTTTATCGTCTACAGTTTATTTCGTATTATTAAGTTGGGTTCCATGCATCTTTTCGTTTCTTATTTAACTAAGTATGGCTATTTCGGTAGAATTTATTCCGATAAATTCGAAAACTACACTGAAATTTATCTATAATGCTCGAATTTAAAACTTCCTTTAGATTTAAATGCAGTTCGATAATGCACATGCTGTGATATGCCACGTGCGCGCGAAAATACACAAATCCATTTGACTATACCTTCATCATTGTTCTGCTCTCTTGTTCCACTGACGTTACCGTCATCTTGTAGTCGAAGAAACCAATTATTTTTACTAAATAACTTGACTTGTGTAATACTGCTTTCCTCGTCTGTGACACCGAAATCTCTCAAGGAAAATATATTCAGGTTTATCTTAGCCGCAGACCATTGCACGGCTTTTAACTGTAGGAGTGCTGACTTCGTTCGGACCCACTCTTTCGCTCGACAGGCCGTGATTTCGTTTATCTGTGCTTTAAGTAGCTTTGCATCCATGGAAAATACTTCTTGTTCCAGTAAAAGCGCCATTTTAGTCGTTTATCTAGCAAGAACAAGCATTGCATCACTTAAACTTTCATGATCAGTTCAGGTTGGGTACATTTGCGTTCAACCGGAAGGCCCCTTGACGTAAAGTGATGCGACAGTTAATGCATGACGTTCATGAAGATACGGGTGAGTGGTGGGTACTTTAAAACACAATTGACTGTCTGCAATTTTGACTGCACTTTCATTAATCTGCATTTCAATGATTGCATTTATAAGTGAGTTGAAAACCTCTTCGCGATGTCATTAAGTCCAAATGTCAAAGAAAAGTGAGCCCTCGTTTGTTCCTCATTTAATGCTGAAAAGCACTTTTGTACCATTTGATTTATGTTTCAAATCCATTATGTACTTATTTCTTCAGAACCATTAACAAGATTTATTTTATAAATGTGAAATACAGTTTGTTTGGCGAAGAATCTTATCCATGCAATGGTATATGAGGTTGAGAATTTCGATTGAAATAATGGGAGATCTTTTTTAGCAGCTTAAGTTTTAATTGCCGACGAATTCTTTACTCAAATTTAGAAAGTGAACAATTAAGTTGTGGCAGTCTTTTAGAGCTGTCGACTTCTTTTGTTTCAATCTATTTTATATCCGTTCTCATCTACAATATATCAATAACCACGAAATGCACTTAAGTAAAACTCTTACTATTGTAGGGCGATATGGAGCAATTACCCCGCTATACCTTAACCAGACGCTTTTAAGAAAATTAATCTCTTCTACCAGAATTGCCTGACCCAACACTCCTAGAGGACAAATAATTAATTGCTGGGAAATAAATTGTGGACGTGAGTCTGAACATGTAAGTTGTGGTGACGTTTGTAAGTGGTTGAAGCTGAACACGTTATTCCGGAGAGAGCTATTGATTAAAAGTCAATCCTCTCACACTCATCACGTACTGTTTTAGTGAGAGCAAATGCACGCTCCTCTACTTAAAAAGAAAAAGAAAAAGGATACCGAAAATAGAACAATAAAAAGTATCTTTTAACCGCTTTATGTTAGATTCCAACCATGAACTGAAAATTTCTTGGTAGGAATACGGTTCCCTTTTCACAATAACCCGAAACAGCTGCATACCTGTTATGGATTTTTTTTTCTTTTGCTGAGAAAGGTGAAAAACTTACAGCCATCAATTATTGTGAATTTGTTCAGTCGAAGGAAAAGCGATATGGATTGGTTTCAGTGTGTGATTTTGATAAAGATTAAAGAAGTCACCTCTGATAAATCTGACCGTGAGGCTTAGGGTGTCTAAATCAGCCATGAACATTTTGAATCAAAAATGATATTTAAACGACTTTTATTTGGTTAGTATTGCTTGAAGAAATACAATGACGCGGAATTTTTCATTATTTTCTAGGTGAACATCTAAATGACCATTTGTTCCAAAACGTTTAAGTTAGCGCGCAACTTTGCGAAACGGCGTCCAACTTATCATTCTAAATGTTGATCTTGAATAAATTAAAAAGCTTGAAATGACCCATAATTCACCGAAGGATTTTAGAATGTTGGCATTTTTTTGGACGTCACCTACGATTAGATTTTTTCATTAGCAGTGAGACCTTAGAACATAAACTGGCCCTTGAAATTAGACATCATTCTATAAGACATCACTTGACAGAAGAAATGACGAATAGCTTACCTCAGTAAGAGCAACTCTTTTTTAACATCAACCACGCGAGTTCATGTTGCGTTTCAGCAAATCATCCTAACTGTCATGTTTCAAAATTTTTCTTATCCGTAAAAATTTAAAATCAGAGTTGAACTGGTTTTGAACGGTACATGTAATACGTTGACATGAACAAATATAGACAATTTTTCTCTGGTAAATGTAAATTTTTTTGGTCCGCGGAATCCGACCGATCAAATTTGAATTTTGCCGTCCGGGGTGAAAAAACCTGCATACAGTCGTTTTGTTATTTGGGAGCAACAGAGCTCTGAAGTCTACCCCGTAGATTGCCCAATTTCTGACCGGATTTCTCGATGCCCTTTAGTCTCGATCGCTGAAAATCTCAGTTAGTTTTAAATCTGCAAAATTTCGTAGACAATGATAAATATCTCACGGAGTGCGATGGTAAACCGTCTAGGGTGAACTCATGAAGGCAAAAGCATTCAATATTTCTTCATTTCTTCTTTCACATAATTATTCTCTCTCCAGTTCTTCCTTTTTTCGTTTTTAATTTTTCTTTTCTCTCCATTTTCCTTCTTGCAATAAAGGTAGAGATGAGATTAATTGACCGCAGGGATGAAGCTGACCAAGAATTAGACTTCAAAAGAATTCACCGGCTACAAACGTCCTCACCAAGATGACATGTGATTATAATCGGAGTTATAGAAAAACTTATTGCGCGGTATGGTTTTGCATCAGAAAGGATTTATATCTTATTGTCAGAAGAAGCTGTTATTGTCGCTGCTGTTGCTTTTTTTATCAACTGGATCAGATAAGATGTCGCAAAACAACTCCAATCTCCAATTGAGAGATCGAATGCTGCGTTTCTCAGACTTGCATAGGATTTTAAACTTATTAATATGGGGTTTCTCGTTAACTTAAAAACGTAGATCTTTAATTGAAGTGCGATTGATTTTTTGCCTTTAATTCTTGGTTGAATCGATGGTGACAAAACGAAAACTGGGCGCTTTAATTTTCTATAATTTTTTATCATTATTTTTCCTTTTGTTGTGAATTTTTCTTTATGAAGTACGAAAAAAATTCGTCCATGCTAATCAGCTTCAGAATTTTTAATCTATTCTGTTTGACAATAAACATTAAACACCAATTTTCTTCAGATCTCGAGAGTTCTGGTTCACCATTTTTACTTCGAAAAGACAGAATTACACAAAAGCTAAAACTGTTGAACTAGTCTGGAGAAAAATCAAATAGTTCACGCCGCTTGCATTAAAACAGGGCAGTGGGCTCCAAATTCGAATCCTTGTAAAAAGTAAAAAAAAAAAAAAATAGAATCAAATAGATTTAAACTAAAGAAATGTATTTTATCCAAAAAATTTTAGCTTAGTTCAAATTTGCTCACCTTTTGTTCGGAGTTAATAACAGCTCCCGCAGTTACGAAGCTCTCCTCGTTGAACGCTGATGCGCGAGCAACTGAAGGCGTTGCTTTTCATGCGAAGATTAAATATAGCATCTTATATTTTTCTGCCGGGAAGATAACAACTTAGTTCTTATTTCAATGAGATGCCACCACCCCCGAAGCCTAGAAAATCATCAGACGGCAGTATAAAAACATCAAGAATGTGTTTTGACTCGATATGTTCCTTAATTGAAGGAGAAAACCCACACTACACTTAACACGATTGGTTGCCTCTAATAGCTCGACTGCACTCGGTCATTTGATTTGACTTTTGCGCCAAAACAATTAATATCTCATAGCTATGGCCAAAATTGGGCAGGATTGCTGCCTTGTTTATGATATTTTCTCTATGACTTTAGCCAAAGGGAAGAAAAAACTGCTCTAATGAGAAAATTCCTTCGTGGGCTAAATTAGAATCATAATATTTCGATTTGAAGTTTTCAGTGTCTGAATTTGAAATTTATGACATCGTTATTGAAATCCATACACGCTGAAAATTTCGGGAACACCAAACACTGCTAGGATTCAAACGGTAAACATCTTCATTGCAATTTGATGCATTTTCCACACGATAACTAGGAAAAAAAGCATTTGTTTTGTGTTGTTGCTAGTAACCAAAATGTAATTAACAATCTATGCAGGAGACTTAAATCGCATTAAAAAAGAATCACTTCAGGTTTAAAATGTCTGTTTTTTCCTGTATTCTGTAATCTCTATTTCGGTGTTTGCAGCAGGTAACTGCATGGTTCCGTACAAAACAATAATTTTCAGATATTTTAGGAGATGATGTTTTCAACATTGATTATAGCTAGTGATAGTTTTGGCAAAACGAAGCTGCTGATGTCGAAAATAGAAGGCAGAAAAGAAAACATGAGCGAATATCGATAATTAGAAAGTTCTTTACTGTTGTTACTGACACAGAACCGCTATGAACGCAAGAGGATCTCAAGATCCAAAATGTTACCATTTCGACTTTGCTCGAAATTGAAAGATAAAGATGATAAGGACTTTACAGGAAAGCTGATTGTTTATTAATTATTAAAAAAAAGGGATGAACGTAACACATAACTGCTTTTCTAGACCGACTACAATCTGATTGGCATGCCTAAATGCAGTATCTAACTGAACAATCAGAAATCTCGATACTAGCAGTACTAGATGAACACAATGGCAAAGAGGGAAAAAAGATATGTGACAAGGCCGCTAAAGATGCGCAAAAACTGAGGTATTCCCTCCCCCTAGGAAGGGGTACATAGGTTTACTGATAGGCCGCGGATGTGCCTTAAAAAGACTTTTCGCATTTTTTGCGAGTAGATAATCTAACCTATTCGGTATGTCTAAAAATAACGTGGATAGCGTGAGTCGGCTGAATATTTTTTCCTGTTTCCGGAATCTGTTTATTTTGAACCTGGGGCTAAGAATCCCATCCCATGGATTCTCAATGACAAACAAAGGCAGAATATGTTTTGTAGAATTCATACAATGTTTAATGGCAAACATACAATCATATGCAGTAAATATTACCCAGGAGGGCTTTAAATTTTTCGAATATGGCTTTAAACATATTTCCTGCTTAATTCCTAAAGCGAAGTTCAAGTTAATGGAGTAGGGTCTCGTTCCACAGGGAATTCTCTTAAGTTGATTATAGGGTCAATGTTTCTTTTTTCCTGAAAATAATTTTTAAATATTTCTTTTGTCGTTCATGGATGTTTTATGAGGTGAACAAATGAAGTTTCTTTCCACGATCTTTTTCCCCGTTCTGATTGGTCATTGTGGTTGCTTTGACTTTGGTTATGCAACGCGCATTCGAAAGATGCTCTTGAAAACGCCAAACTATTCGCAAAAAAAGGTGTATGTTGTGGCTGTTTGAAATCGAATTGTCAACCTTGAGATGGACTGGCATCCTATCCAGGGGGGAGGGGTGATATTCCTAGTCGCTTCATGCTTTGGAAACCGGGAAAAGCTCGGGCTCATGAGCCACTTCGCTCGAGCATAAACTTTATCCCCTTTTACAAAGCGTTTGCAGAAAAAATACGTTTAGTTTTCATAGAAACGACATTTTCTTGTAAAATTAAGAAAGCTTTTATTTCTTGTTTGTTTTGCCTTGTTGCTTTACATTGCATAAATAAAATGTAGACACGATGATTATATTAATTAATTTTACATCAATATATAAAACACTGATTTCACACTTCGTAAATCTGATAAAAAATAATTAGTGGTGTACATAAATAATACTGATAAATGGATCCTTAAAAATGTCCTTATTGTAAGGAATAATATCAGAAACCACTTTTAAAATGGCTTGAGAGTTATTCCGTAGAATTATATTACTCTTCCAACAATTTTGCATTGCTTCAAGGTTCATGCTGAAAGCTACTTTCAGCCCGCAGGGCATTAAACTCTAAAAATTTACCAAACTTTACGTCCCATTTGATGGGATTTAAATTCGAGAATTGAGAATATTTTCAAAAATTCCGAGTCGCTAAGCAACATCTAAAGCTTAAAATAGGGTGATCAACAGCTGTCTCCCGTGTAGATGATAAATTTTACTTTATTTTGACTGACTTTGGTGTCTTTTCCTTTGCGGATTTTTCCATTGCGTCCAAGGGATATGAATGTGTCGTATAATGATTTTTTGTAGTACTTCGCAGACGCAAATGTATGATATGATGTGCTCTCCATTGTTAGCTTAAACACTGTTTCATCATTGGTTGAATTCTGTTAAACATAAACATGTCGAATTAGAACACAAAACTTTACATATTATCACGTCACGTAACGTAACATAACGTTACTCCATAGCAAGTCACTTCGCCTTTCTTACATCACGACATATCACATAACGCCATGATCACTCGGCATCCCACAAAAACAGCTTACAGTCCGTTATAATTTATTGTACATTTCATTTGCGTGTCAAATATTGTTTTATCAAAATTTTTAAATCTCTTCCTTTGAGATTTTTTCCCTTTTAGATATCACGGTAAGAAAAGGTAATGAAAAAATGTGGCATCATCGATTTTGCGATCATTGACTTATGAATTTCGTGAAAAAGTGCCCTTACCCCTTCCCTCGTGAGAGATTGGTGCAAAGTCTTGTTCTGAAAGGGACTTTATCAAAATAAAATTTTTTTTTTAAAGCTTAAGGTCTTTTGATAATCTCACTCAATTTTATTTCGAAAAATCTCGAACGAATGTGCCTGATAACATAGTCCGTTATAAGTTGAACCCCCTTACTTACCGTTGAATAAACAATACCCCCACTGTTCATTGCAACGTAACGACCGGTTTCGATTCCTTTAATACGCTGAAATCCACTTCCCATTGGCTCAAGCTCAAGATTGGCTTAAAAATGAAAGATTATAAAAATTAAATAACGGCCAGGGAGCAAAGAGCAAATACTTGACATGAGAGTGTTTGCGTGTTGTACGCTGGGAAATTCTTCACTTCTAAATGTACGTTTTAGAAATGCCATTAAACATTGAACAAAATTTGGTATTAGAAACAAATGAACTGAAGAAAAATCACTTTTTAACAGCTACTTTTAGATTGGTTGCGTTTTTCTCTATTTTTAATTTCTTTGCAAACAAAAGTACAATCGTTTTTCTAAACCTTGGAAAATTTGAACGAAGTCTTTGAATTTTTCCTTTTATTTAATTTCTAAAGCCATCATTCACAGTACAAGTATAATTCCCAGAAAACCAGAAAATTAAGTTTCGAATAGTATTGTGTAAATAAATGGGAATGAGAATGTAGATGAGTAAGCGTTAGGAAAAACAGATTCATAATTGAGCCACGGTTATGAAAACAACTCGAAGATGTTGCGTGTCTTACCATATTTACTTGAACAAAACGCGGTACCATTCACTACGCCATCGTCACTGATTTGCAGAAATTTCTGCGTTTTCCAGAACAAACGAACAGCCATCGGAATGGAAGGGATATTCGCCGCAATAGTTCTTATATCTGGATTGATTTTAAGAAGAGAATCTCGTCGCTGTCGGGACAAGGGAACTTGGTTAAGACTCCATGTTCCCTTTTGGTTAACTGATGATGATGATGACTGTCCAGTTGACTTTATGACTGCCGAACGACAGAGGTTTAAAATGAAGACTCCCAAAAGAATTGTGTACTGCAGGCAGAAAACATAAATGGTGAATAAATAAGTTAATAATTATTATTAAGTAATTAATGACGGAAGCTTTCGAGTGGTCAGGGAGTAATAAGATTAGTGAAAAAATGGAAGTCATTAGTTATGAATGAGATTCTGAGCTAAATAATTTAGCAAGGAAGGAACGAGACAAAAGAATGAAAATAAGGGAAGAAAAAATTATTTACTTATAAAATCTTAAAATTCAAACTATATGCGGATTTCTTTACGTACTGCATTGAGGAACTGAGTCAGTCTGTTACCCAGTTAGTCATTCACTAAGATAGCCAGGTGTATACGAACAGAGGACAAAAAAACTGACGCAGGCAATAGGTTAGGGTTTGATAATTCATTTACATGCTAACTACGTTTTTTGCCGTCAGTTACTACAACTGTTACTTTGAAACTAAAGTCATTTGTATAACTGATCTTTAAATGAATTCAATCGCAATTTTTCTTCATTTGATAAACTTCAGAGTGTGAGAAGTAAATCGTTTGTTTTTGGTTCTAGAACAAACAAACTCTTTAACGGATTCGTTCTAACATGACTGCGGGTCAAATTTTTTTAAAAAATGCAAAAAGTATTATCGAAGACTTACTTAGGAATGTTTGCAGCTAAAGTCGGTATAAGACTTACCAAAGATGTCCTGATCATTATGAAAAGAGAGTGGTTAATTCAATTCAGTTAAGAAGCTTGTATTTTTTTCCGTCACTGTTTGCTGTTCGATACACTGCACCAAACTGCAAGCCTTTTTATACTCACCTACCCTTACACATTTCTCGCAGCCAGCCATTTTTGGCGTGGATGTTGTAATCCACAAAAAATTCGTGTAGTGGGTGTAGTGATTTAATTTAAGTCGGAAAATCGAGTTCACTCAATCGGAAAATTTTGCATTAAAATAAAGTTGGCAGTGGACCATGTAATTTATTAAGGTATCAAACTCGAATATAACTAACTCGACCAAGTTTACTTTGCTTGAATTCAGTTCTCCTATTAAGCAAAACTAACAAAGGCCTGAAGGCATCTTGTTTCAAAGCTTAGAAAACGATCCATTTTTCTTTCGCATTTGCGGACTCGTGACAATTTCGTAACTTTCAATTAACACATTGATTTATATTAGTAGCAGGAAAAAAATTTTAAAAATAGCATTTTACGTTAGAGTTAAAGAATATCTTGACTATTACCTCCGGAAAAAGTTAAAGTTTAATTCGCAAACAAGCCAGTGAAATTATCCGTCAATATCCCTAAATGTTTTCATAACACCCAAAGATTTAGAAGCACAAATTAAATTTGTGATCGTGATGTTATGATAAAATTAAACTCGTACAAAAATTTAACACCTGCCAAGAAAACTATTTTCGCACTAAGAAGAGGTGGACTGAAATAGAGTTTAAATATTGAAATAGCTGTTAATTTTTTTTTTAATCAAGAGGAAGTAACTCCATATTTTTAGCCGGGAAGAGAAAACACGACTTCTATAGAAACTGAAGCCAGTCTTTAAAATTTCGAAAGTGCACCGGAAGTGGCTAACCACAATCAATACAGAGGTGGAACTCTTCAGGTAACTTCCGCTTCCGGTCACGTCCTCACCCACCTGTTTTCAACGAGCAGATGGGGAAAATTCTTTTCTCATTAATTCTATGTTTGCTTAAAAAGAATGAATACCTTTATACCGTCAGTTTCATTTTTTAACAAAACCAGCTTAGATGAGTCAGCATATTAGCGGTGAACCGACAAAATATTCTACAGCATACAGGTGCAAATGGAACGGACATATATTCACTTATGTAAGTATCACGTTGCTTCCGTGTGATTCAGGTAGCGGAAGGGATCAATATTTGCTACTACGTATCAAACACTAGCTTTTTTGCAAATGGATTCTTCTTAGAAGTAAATTATTTACTGGTGGCTTTTGATATTGATTTGACGTGGGAAAAAACCGCACATCATATATTGATGATTTTTTGTTTTTTTTCTCGAAGTATCTTGCAAAGAAGTACAGCTATAAAAAAGACCAATTTGAACAACTAATGGGATCGTGGCTTCTCTCAATGACTGAACCAACGGGATCCTGCGGGATGATAATTACATACGTCATAAAATTTCGTCAATAAAATTGAGTGCCTGCTTCCTGTCCTTTTTCTCATTATAGACCGTTTACCCTGTGGTGGCGTTTTACCGTGGGACCAAACTTTGAGGTTTCCTTTGGTTTTTTAAGTTGATATTAAGTGTTGCTGTACTACGTATGAATAAGCTGAAACTTTGGGTTAGGGTTAGGGTTAGGGTTTTATTAATAACTTGATCATATAAAAAAAGTTAGAAAATATTTGTTTTATCATTATCGTCGTAATATTTTACTAAAAAGCTGCTCCAGCAGGAGTTTCAGAATTTCTCTCCATGTAGACTGTCGATGGTGTGATAGACGGCTGTGCTGTAGGGGCAAAACCCAAACACCAAACACTAGAGCTTAGTCGGAGAGATCGTATTGGCAGCGACTGACCGCCGGTAATGACTTTTACCAAAACCCCTGCTTTAGATGTTTCAAAATCCTCACGCCAGTAGTATTTTTTTGTTTTTCGAAAATAAATTTTCTCTCGTTTATTTTATACCCAGCTACTCTTAAGCAATTTAGAGTTAAAAACCTATTTTTTCTAAAATTTATAAGAATGTAAAAAGAATTGTGTCAGCGGTTTTGCTCGCCTAACCCTTCAGTTGTTTTCATAACTTTCTATCTATTCATAACACTCCTAATGATATGCGAAACTGAAATACATTAAATTAACACATCCCTTGCGATTCAATGCACGCAGACATGTGCACAAGGGTGTTCTAAGGGTATAAATATTGAGCCGAAGCAGAATAACACTCCTTTCGTGCTTAGTCTCAGCCAGCGGAGCAGTGAAGGAAGGAACGGCCCACCCACCCACCCGGACCAAATTCGCGTGTGTCGAAACACTGCTACCCTGAGCCAAGCTGTTCCAGCTTGGCTTAGACCGCTGTGCAATATTATTTCCCATATCTTATTTCGACCGAGCATGAATAGAGTGTTATGAAATAGATTACTATTTATCTTTTTTAACCTTAAATTCTTCAATTTACATTTTACAAAAGGGCAAATCTAAGCATGCGCAACCCTTACGGTTGTTAATACGAATGGTAGGCGGCGTTGAAACCTTCGCCAGCGGTCTGCCTTACAGCAATGAGTACTCTATTACGACACTCCTTTGCATTTTTTTCTCAGTTATCATGATTGCAGCAAAAAAAAAAAAAAAAATGAAATCACATTGAAATAAACTTTCAAGATCAACAAAGTGTTTTGGTTTCGTTAAATATGATATCAAACTACTACTCAGTACATTTCATTCCATGTCAAGAGCACACTGCTTAAAGAAAAAATGATTTACCTAGCCCTTTACACACTAACAACACTATGAGTATTCTCCAAACTACTTTATAAACATTCCTAGGGAAATAACAATGAGAATTTGTCTTGCAATCAGGCGCTTTCTTAATTGGTGATCATTTCCCTTATTGTCGTGACCTGATTGTTTGGTTCAGGGCGATATTATAAGGAGAAATTCGATGCTAATCACTCTCAGAGGTTAAAGGGTCAAACACGTCGTTGTCATTCTTAATTTTTTCAGCCATGAAGAATATCAAAAGGTAACATTTTCCTTGAGCTTTTACAAACTATTCACTCTGCAAGCACAACAACAGAATGTTGGCCGCTTTTCTATCCAAAATACCTTCTTAATCCATTTTTTTTTCTGAATTCTTTTTAATGTTTTATGTTTGCCTGGCTTATTTATTTTCTGTTTCCAGACTGTTGCTCTGTTATGCAGTGTACCTGATCCACCCCCTCCTTCGGTTTAAAATTCCCATTTGTGATATAAACTGAGGGCTGTTTTGCAAGGATTTTCAGCCCTGAGAGGAAGTGTATAGTTACCATAATTTTCACGTGCGTTTGACTTTGCCAATCAACCGCTAAACGTCACTCGCCTTTCGCGCCACTCTGTCGGGTTCATTCATTAATAAAGTTGACTTTTTTTCATGTCAGCAAAGGCTAATGGCATTTCTTTAATAAACAAAATATTACATGGCTACTTGTAGATATGGTATTATCTACTCATGTTCAATTCAATGACTCACTCTTTCCTTATGCTCACTCGTGAGATATGGAGTTCAACGGTCGAAGAAAAACTCCATATCTACCGCGCCATGACTATTCCCTACATGAAAAACTGCATTAATAGAGAGTTTTTAATAAAATTATTCGCTAGTTAAGTATTGAAAATTACTTCTAAAAATAAAACTGCATGGCTCGATCAGTTCAGCCAAATAGTTAAATTATAAAGCTTTAATTACTTAAACCTTTTGCTATGTCTTTTAGCCTTTTTTGTCAAATTAGTCTGGAGCTTTTAAGTGACGACTTAATGCTCTTTGTAAGGAATTTTTAAACCATGTACTTTTACGATCTTGAGGAAAATTTTCAAACTTACGAAAACAAAAGAAAATTCACGGTTCGCTGCCCAAGCGAACAGATAACATCCCACACAACACTCTTTATTGGTGTTTTGACGCGAGTTTAACTAACCTCGAACTTGAATTTTAACATCTCACGCAACACTCTTTATAGGTGTTTTAACGCTAGTTTAACTAACCTCGAACATGAATTTTAAGCAGTCCAGAAATTACGAAATTACGCGGTTAAGTGTAGGACCCACATATTTTTCGCAGTTTCAGTTCATTTCACCTGCACTTGTAACACTTCTAGGTGAGTTTTTGAAGTCAGTGGGACGTGAAATATTTTGAAATATTTTTCAAAGGGTGATTGCGAGAGTGAAACTGTATTAAAAAATAGGTTGACGACCATTGGGAGTGAAGAAATATTAAAGGAAGCATAAGTCTTCTTGCTTTTTTTTTTTGTTTTTTTTCGCGGAGCTTTGAAAGTATCGCGAAAGAAATGTTCCTCGCAGGTTTTCGACAGGATTTAAACCTTTACCTTCCAGATACTAACTGAGAATTTACTGTCATCTAAGCTGCGGAGCTACGAAGTGTTAGGAGCGAGGTACATTGCGTATGATTCATCTCATTCATTTAATTTCAAACATAAGGAGTGTCTAATTTCAATTTTAAAAATGACAAAATAAATGCTATTAACAAGTGTACCTTGCTTAAAAATTTAGCACTGTAGCTCAGTTGGCAGTAACGTCTACTTTTAGGAAGGAGGCACGGTTGGAATCCCGTCGTAGCCTGAATTTCGGGCTTTTTTTGCAATTTGTTTAACCCATTAACTTCCAGATTAAATTTGTAACTCTCCTTACTGTCAAACATACAATTCTGATAATGTTAGTTCAGAGAATTTAGTATTGGATCAACTTATTATCCCCAAATTGATATTTTTCTTTATTCTCATCACTTATCTGGTTGATATTGTATTGATATTATAAGGAGAAATTCTGTCTTGGTCACTCATGGGAGTTAAAGGGTTAACTGCAACTCACCTGCAAGGGTCATTCTTTTCTTTAATATCATCAGTACGTAAATATGATTTATTTCATTCATTTAGTTGAGAGCTTTGAAAATTAACGGCCTTCAATTAGCAGCAGAGCTGTCCCTCTGAGCAAAATTTCTCATTAACAGAAGCATTCTATCTTCTGCTGTTAATTAAAGTACTTGAGTTAAGACGCACGCAATCTGTCTGAAAGTTATTACTGGGATACCTGTGGTAGCCCAGTCATAAAATGCCTTTGTTTTTTTGTCGTCTTTTTTTACTGGGATACCTGTGGTAGC